TTACTACAGATGCCACTATGCAATCGCTAGGTCTCCAAAAGTTTCCAGCGTATGCTTTTATGTCAGGTATCGGTAATCAAAGTGACTCTGTAGTAACGAAATCGTCAATTACTAAACTTCAATCATTGCATGGCCTCAATTATTATGTTGTAGACGCCAGGGCTCATGTATTGAATGAATTAATGTCCATATTATCGACTCATAAAGTCAATATAGAAATATATAAAAAGTTAGTAGTGGTACAAATAGCAGATCTTGACTCTGATTTACTTCTGGGAGTTTATATGATCAGTCAGATTTTATTCATTGGTTTAAGCAAGGGTCCTTCAACTTTTCTATTAATACAAAATGGATGGATTCTATCTGGCCAGGTTTCTTCAAAACCTTTGGGAAGCCTCCAGTTGTCATGTCTTAAGGTCATTAGTTCAAAAGCCACTGCTCGTAGGAATGATTTACTTCTTAAATGTTGGGAATCGAAGTCAGGGAATTCAGTTATAAATAAAAAGATTCTTGCTCAAGAACAGCAATATTGTAAAATGGTATTCGAGGATAAACCCACCAGAGAAGACTTTGGCTGGTTTTTAGTTAAGCCACCATTCCGCTCATTTAATTATGGTAAACATGGTATACGGATTATTGATACTGAAGCACGGATATACAGAAACACCTCTCAAGTTATTTCCTGTATCTCACGATTATTCGATCCCCTGGGGTGGGTTACGTGTTCCATAATTCAAACAAAAATTTCACAATTATGGATGAATGGTTTAGAATGGTTTCAAGACAAGCTTAATCATTTGTTGCAGAATTGGATTAAATACAGGGACAAAACAAGGCTCAGTAGTTATCTTAGTAAATGCAAGGTTTTCATTGCCAATAGGGTAAAAAAAAAAAAAAGTCAATTGTTTACCACAGCCAGTTTAAAGTTGGTCCTTCTTGGTTTATATGTAAATATTAAATACAGTCCACTTAGGTACAAGCTTGTTATAACTTAAGAAGGCCAAAAGGAACTTTCCCAGGACAAAAATGGAAGTCCTCAGGGTGGGCGGTACTATATTATTTTACTTAGCTTAAGAATTCTCCAATTGACTAACACAAATTAGTGACATTGGTATGTTATGGTATATGATTTTTTTTTGTTTTGATTGCTAAAGCAGTTTACAGCATTATTACATATTTCGTTACAGTTATCACATTACCCGTGTCGTTGGCTTTCTATGCAAATGTTCTCTATATAGATTTGTTGACTAAAATATTTGCGTTAATTGTTTATTTATATACAATTTTAGTAATGTTTTCTCAATTATAGTTATTTAAATATTGCTTACGACTATAATAGATTTATTATTCAGTATGTTTATATTGTTGTTCACTTATAAAGTTATTTTTTGTAAATATTTTCAATCTGTGTTAAAGTATAAAGAATTTTATTTTGTTGATTGACTGAGATGTTCATTATCTAATAGTGCGACTGTCACCTAGGTATTTTTCAAGAATTTGTGTTGTTATATGTATAATCTACTATTAAGATGACTTTTGATTTATAATTAAAATTGCAATCTCATTTGTTATGGCCATGCTGTCCATGGTGGGCGGTATGTTAAGAATCAGATTAACGTTTTGTATACTAGATGGCAGGAATAGTCTATTGAATCGCGCTATCATTTTGTTTTTATGGAAACATAAGTATTTTATGTCGAAGCAATAAATGCTCTCTCGCTATTTAAAATTGGAACAGGTGTTTAATTCTTTAGTTAGTTCCACCTCCTTTTTGGGACACTAAACACCTCGGGCAGACATTTCAGTTAGGTAGAAACAACTTTGAGGACGAGGTGAATAGAAGAGTTCAGCTAGGTTGGGCAGCGTTTGGGAAGCTACGTCAAGTCCTGACATCGTCGATCCCACAGTGCCTAAAGACGAAAGTCTTCAATCAGTGCGTCCTACCTGTGATGACATACGGAGCCGAGACGTGGACACTGACGGCACGGCTGATCCACAGGTTCAAAGTCGCTCAACGCGCTATGGAAAGGGCTATGCTCGGCGTTTCTCTGAAAGATCGCATCAGAAATGAGGTAATCCGACAGAGAACCAGAGTTATCGACATAGCCCACCGGATTAGCAAGTTGAAGTGGCAGTGGGCTGGCCATATTTGCCGAAGAACCGATAACCGTTGGGGTAGACGAGTTCTGGAGTGGAGACCGCGTCTAGGCAAACGTAGTGTAGGACGTCCTCAGGCACGACGGAGTGACGATTTGCGCAAGGTGGCTGGCAGGAGCTGGATGCGAGTAGCCCAAGATCGATCTGAGTGGCGTGCATTTGGAGAGGCCTATGTCTAGCAGTGGACTATGGTGGGCTGTTGATGATCCGATGACCCGCCATTGGGAAAGATGCCTATTCAAGCGCGTTCGAATCCCGTCTGGAAACTGCACCAGTGGATTTTTTCTAGTAAATATGTCTTTAGATTCAATCATCCAGCAGTAAAATGGTTAAAATAAAATAATTCCTTGCCTTTTATAGTCTTCAGCGCGGAGGAGCTAGATGTAATAAGTTTTTGGTGACCCATCCAATTACCGACTATTGTAATGTAATCTATGTTAAAGAAAATGTAACTAGAAAAAAAAATTTAGATTTGAACATCAAGCAGTTAAACCTTTTAAAAAATAAAAATTATAACTATTGTAATAGTTGCTTAACTTTCATGATATGATTACCGAACAGAGTGCGCTAACCACCTGCCATGCCAGTTTAACTGGCAGCACTCAACTCGCTCAGCTATAATATTGTAGGGATGGCAAGCCGTTGCTTGCCCTAAACGACTTCATTGCTCAAACTTGAAGGAGAGCATGATTTACACTAACCACCTCTAGATTAGTCTCGATATTACCACTTTTAAGTACAAGATGTAATTATATATATATATACTAGCTGACCCAGCGAACTTCGTACCGCCCTAAAAAAATAGGGGTTGTCCAGCGGACAAAATTGTGAATCTAAACCATTCTCAGATCCCCTTGAACACACACAAAAAATTTCATCAAAATCGGTCCAGTCGTTTAAGAGAAGTTCAGTGACATACACACTCACAGAAGAATTATATATATAAAGATTAAGAATTTAACTGTCAGGTATGTAAAATTGAAGAACATAAAAAGAATTATACACAGAACACAGTCCAGGGGGCTATCCGCCTAACGGAAATGCTTTGGTAAAAGCTAATGCTTACGATTTCATTTTATTATTTCTAGCCGCCTGAGGTTTTCAAATACCTCACGCTCTTTTTTCTGTTGCATATTTGGTAATAACAATATCATTAACAGCCTAGACTGAATAAATGACTTTTCATTTCATTCATTTTCATTTCATGTCATTAAAAAGAATGAGCGTGAGGTATTCGAAAACCTTCGGCGGTCAAAAATAACAAAAAAAATCGAAAGCGTTAGCGTTTCCGTTAGGCGAATGGCCCCAGGCAGCAGAGGGGACTCGAACCCGCACCCTCCTTTGTCCGGGCCGATGCCCGATCGAATTTCTTTTGGTATTTCTTAGGCTGCAAGGCAGCGCTATCTCTTCACATTGTATGTAACAAGATCTGAGTTTAAATCGATACTAATTCTATGCTTAATGTTATAAATGCGAGTTTGTGTCTGTCGCTCTGTTACCTCTTCAAATTTAAACCGCTGCGCCTGGCTGGAAATACTGACAAACAAGCATATTTTTGTCCCCCTGACATACATAGCGCATGTGGCAACAGAACCTACAAACGGCTGCTACACAAAGAGAATATAAATGTATATATTATATATAAAAATCTATTATTGAAATGCTGAAATAAAATAAATAGATTATTAAATAGTATCTTGAAGGTCACCGACCCTCTACGGGCTACAGGACAATGACTAGCGTAGCTGCCGTAGCACTACGAGCTTAGCTACGAACTACATTTTTACGTGAAAATAGTATACTTTTGTTGTTGTCAGAGAACTAGTTGTTGTGATGAATACATTCTGTGTGTGTCAATCAAAGGAAACTATTTTTAACAAAAAAATTAAAACCGACTTAATAAAAACAAAACTACTAAACAATAATAAATAAAGCGTATTCTTTCCTTATTATTTTGATAGATCAAAGTTACCATTTACTGTTTAGGTTGCCATGGCACCGGCACCAAATATTAATTTGACTTAAAGTGTAGATATTAGTAAATAATAAGCCATAGATAAATGATTGGTCTCGCTTCAGTCGGGTGAAGCGAGATCAATAATTCATCTATGGAATAAGCATTATTTCTTACTTTTTGGTGCTTCTGTATTTATGGTCGGTTTTTATTTTTGTTTATAATAATTTAATTTTTTACTATTTTGGAAGCCAGAGCAACATCAACTTACTAAATATAGATGTCTGACCTGCAATCTCTCATATTTCATAAAATAACCAAACACAATATATTGTGTACTATTCGTATTTAAGGAGTTCCGGTGTTTATATCCGAAAGTATTCATTACATCTCTACCAAATTAATATAGGACCATCTCGCTAGTAAACTCTACCTAACAAAATAAAAATCATCAAAATTAGTTACAGAAACCTCGGATATATGCGCGAACAACAATAATAGTTATTTATTATACAAGAGTGGAAAGTTCCTTTTTAACCGCGTGCTCGATTTGGATGACCGAGCAAGCGAAGGATTCTAAAGTTGAATCACGAGCGCAGCGAGTGATTCTAAATTAGAATCCTGAGCGTCAGCGAGGGAAACAAACGAGCACAAGGTGAAAAATCTTTCCACTCGAGTGCAATACGTAACTTTTCATCCCACCTCAGCGAGGAAATGACAAAATGAAAAAGAAAACAATTTATAATGACAAAATATTTAAGCAATAAAACGTGAAAAACTAGAATGGCGCGAAGCACGCAAATAAAACAAAGAAACCAAGAAGGTTCCAAATTTAAATTTTTTCACAATTTAAAAAGTTCTAATCATAAATTTGGCACCATAGAGGTTACATTAAATAGGTTTAATGACGTTTTGAATTTACAATTATATTGAGTACTCATTATATGTGATGTTCTAAATTCAAATCTACTTTGCCGCTCAAGCGAATAAAATAGAATTTTCCAGCCAGATTTCGAAGCGCAAAATTACACTTTCCGAGGTGGTGGGATGAAAAATATATTATGACTAATTGAGAACCTCCTACTTTTGGAAGTCAGTTTAAAAGAGACAAGTAGCCCAAAACCACAAACATTTGATGTTGCTATTGCAACATAAGCTACAATCATAAACAAAAACATACCAATAAGTAAAAAATATCTGAGCAGTTTTGGATTTTTTGGTATAATCGAAATCCAAATTTTGATTAGCGTCATTAATTAACTACAATTAAGAAAATTTCATAAGCTTCAAAATTATGTTTTAAACTTCAAAATTAAGTCTAGGGCCAATACCAACAGCTTACATATCGCAGAATTCTCTACTCAGACTCAAAATTTATTTTTGTTATATTTTTAGGCAAAGTTTAATATTGCTCTAAAATTGTGTACGATGGCAGCACATAATGCGTGCTACTACAAATGAATAAGTGTAATCTCGAAGGGCGAATCACAGAAGTATAATTTAATGTTATTAATGTTTTTGTTAAGTTCGTAGCGTTGAGTGGGTATGCATGTCTGGATTAGATCCCAGCTATCGGCAGAGGCTCGAGCTGTAAGCGGCGGCACGGCGGCGGCGGCGGCCGGGCTCCGTCTGCCATCCACAGATCGATAATAAACCTCGTCACGAAGCAACAGAAGAAGTACACAGCTCTATATCGTTTAGCTTATAACGTAGTCTTTTAATAACTTTTTGCATGATAGTTAAACCATATACGTTATATAGCTTACCTATATTATGTGTAAAAACAGGACGTTTTCTAAATAATCACGAGATCTCTAAAACGAGGTGACTTAAGAAGCTCTGGTGGTCGAATCATAGGAAGGTGAGTGATTTTTTTCCATCTCTAAAGTTAATACAAAGCAAAACGACATGATTCTTGGAAACCTTTCTTGGGGGGTTTTAAATAGGGCAGAAAGCCAAATATAATCCCAATTATACCTACCAAAGAACTTAGTACTTAAATAATGTAGACTTGGAAATTTAATATACTTAAACTTACGGAATCGAGCGATATTTAATTTTGCCTTAATTGAGACACTAGCTTCGCACGCACCCTCGCCCTGTTTTACAAAATGGGAATTGGTAATTAGGCTTCTAAATTCAATTAAATTCAACCCAAAATACAATATATAAAAATACTATTTTTACTTCAACGTCTGCAGCCAGAAAGGTAGCAAGGGGGTAAAAGCAGCGATATTCATACATTTAATGGAACTTAAATGAAATGAAAAAACTGGAAAAAATCGTGAGTCTTTATAAAACATATTATTATCCGTATAAAATACTTTGGTAGCATTTAATAAGTCCCTAGAAAGAGACTATCTAACCGATTTTTCTCATTTGCGTCAGGTTAAGAAAGCGGATCAAAGGTTTTAAGTCTTTCTTTTTTTAAATAAGACCTCCACTCTTCACGAATGATCAGTCCCTTTCACTCGTGTTGCTTTATGAAAAGATCTGATTGATCTCGTTCTCATGAGTGCTTCCGAGATTAGAAGGATCCGAACCGATTCCATTGAAAGGTGTGTAACAAAGCGAACGTAGGGGCCGCGGAAGGCCGGTGTACTTGTACGTAGGCACCCAGGTAGCTACGTTATACTCGGTCAATACGAGCGCGCTAGTGAATGGGTGCGGTGGGCGGACGGGGCGCCGGGGTCGGGGGCCGGGGGGGCGGGGGGGCGGCGGGCGGCGGGCGGCGGGCGATCGATGGGCGGCGCCGGCGGGTGGCGGCAGTCGCGGCCGGGGCGCCGCGCGGGACGAGCGACCGACACGCGGGCCCACGAGGCGCTCCCACGGCCCGGGCCGCTATCGACCGTGGACCGCGGACCGCGGAGCGTGGACCGCCAGCCAGCGCCACTGCGGCCCGATCGATCCACCCGCGAGGTACGTATGCGCGTCCGCTCATTGACGGCGAGCGCTCGAGCCTCCCTGGCGCCTCCTATATCCATAATCACATGCGCCGCTCTAATGGGGTGTTCGATTCTGCCGCCAGCGCCGGCCTCTCACGCTTTTCTAATTTAATGATGTCGGAAACAAAGCAAAGCCGCACACTCCGCGGGGTGCTGCCGTATCGATTAGAAGTAGAAGCTGTCATCGTTGAACATGATTGATAACTGGTAGCGTACATACCTGTCTACCGTTACGATCTGTGAGTACTTAGTTTAAGAGTAACAGTGTAGACATAATGGGCACATAAAGACGTGCACAGTACTCATTATTTTATAATTAGATACTTATGCATAAGCAGACTGATGAAGTCACCGCATTAAAAAATTTTACAAATAGTCAACGACACGACTCCATAAGTTCATGTACTTAGAACATTCATATTTCTAACTTGGCGAATCATCATTTTTATTACATAACTATCCGCGAGAGAATGAGAACCCACACTGAACTCGATGGCATGTTTAGAAACTACTGACAGCTTTAAAAAAGAGGCAGCGTGCTAGTAGCACGGAGCGAGGCGCGGGTGGGGCGGCGGCAGAGCGAGGAGGGCCCTGGGGGCCGGGGCGGGGCGGGGCGGGGGGCCGAGGGGGGGCGCTCGCTGCAGGGCGGCGCGGTGCGGATGCACCCGGAAGGGCCCACCCACGACCCAGCGCTCTCCCCGACCAACTAACTCCAAACTCCTATCAGTCAAACATCAAATGCCTTACTTAATTTAACCTTCGACATATAGGCAGAGCAGGCATTTTGTCTTGTTCTATTTACAAATGCAGGTATTGTAGGTTTCGGTGTCTGGGAAATGTACTATAACTAATCACTCAGCCACCAGGGGAGCTAGAAGAAGGTTCTCCGGACTCCTCCCTGTCTGCTTCGCCCAGCGTATAAAACCCTCGGGGAACCGGAACAGGGCCCTACGCAGTAAAAACCAGATAATACCCGGCACCGGTAAATTGTCTGCTTTTTAATGGGTAGGGCCCTATTCCACTTTCCGTGCTAGAAAGATATTCTTCACGCTCCAGGTCATAGGAAAGATTGTTATCTTTTGTATACGTCAACTTATATTATCGTTTGATAAAAACATAGGGATAGGAAAGGTAATCAAGTGTTTTGTCGGGCAGCAGTGAACAGCAATGGAGGGCGGCGGCGGCGTGGGCAGCGTGGCGTCGCTCACGATGGACTGCGAGGACATGTTCAAAGAGATCACCAAAAAGCTGTACGGCGAGGAGGCGGTGGGAGTGGGCGGCGTGGTCGGCGTGGGCGGCGTGGTCGGCGTGGAGTTCCCCGCCGCCGAGCGCGACCTGGACGATGACCTCCGCCCCGAGGAGCACATCACGGCCTGGGGACTCGCCGCGCTCATGCAGAACGGGTTCCCACCCCCCGGGATTTTACAGGTATAAACCATAGTTACTATTGTGCACGACATGATGCAGAGGTATACCTTTTTCAGCAACTTAATATTATATCCTGGTAGGACATTAGAAATGATTTATTAGTAAGTTAAATATCGCAGTTCATAATTTAATATACTTGTTCGCATTTTTATCCAACTCAAAGGACCATTTTGAAAAAAAAAATAGAAGTAAAGGTTTTAAAAATAATAACGGTGAAACGTTTTCTTATAATTTTATTTCAAGCGTAACATTACTAGATTGAATCTCAAAAAAATATCACTCCCAAAATATTCCACCCAACCAAAACATCGAGATAAAATACTAGGTAATTTATTAATTTTTCTTAAGATATAATAATCAATTAACCTATAATCACAAAGATACGATGCTATGAAAGAGAAATGCTGATCACTATAGTACACAGAATAGTATAACAAGCAGACCCCTCTTTCCCAGTGGGCACTCTGGGACAGGGCTTGAAACCGGTTTCGAAAATACCGGTAAATAAAGGTTAATACCGGTTTTTAGTAAAGGTTTCGTTCGGAGCGCGTCCGAAATGAAAGCGGTACCTAAAACCTTAATAAACCGGTTTAATCCAGAGCGACAAGTGCACGCGTCGGCATCGCTTGAAGTTTGTTTTGTTTGAACTAATCAAGTCACAACTTGTTAATGCTCAGAGATTGATGCATTTATTGACACGTTTGCTAGCGTCTAGTGAGACAAGTTATTCATTTTTCATCGATGCCGTCAGAAAGAGCGAAATGAAACCCTTTAAAAACCGCTAAATTGATTCAAAACCTATTTGATTTCCCTATTTAGGAAAACCGGTTTTTTAAGGTTAAGCTAGAGCCAAACCTAAATAAAACGCTCCTAATGTACTTGACACTGATTTAGGTTTGAAAATTAACCGGTAAACAAGCCCTGCTTTGGGCAAGTGCCCAGGGCCTCGCGATCGATAGGGGCCCACGTAGTTCCTGTTAGATCACCAAACGGAGGTCGTAGGGCCCCATTATCCGAATATGCCCAGGGCCTCCAATAGGTCAAACACGGCACTGATAACAAAGAAAAATGTTTAACGATATTTATTTATATAACGCCTGATTAAAAAGTATCAACAATTCAGCTTCTCTGCGTGTTTGGTAGTAACTTTTCGTATTGTACCAGGCGAACTTCACGCCGCGCATAGACACGAGCGCGGAGGACCGCTGGTCGGCGGCGGAGGAGCCGCTGGCGTGGGCACACTCTCGCGTGGCCGCGTACAACCCCGCGCAGCGCCTCTTCAAGTGCGCCGACTGCGAGTGCGTCGGCTTCCTGGCGCGCATCGCGGAGCACTGGCTCGGCACGCACTCGCAGGTAATACAACCAACAACATAATGAATGAATTTAAATAAGAAATTGACGACTCTGTATATATCAATACAGGGAGAAAAAAGCAGCCCTTGCTGAGTTTCTTGCCGGTTCTTCTCAGTACAAGGTCTCCCGCCGTAGTTTTGCGAACCGATGGCGTAGCTTCTGACCTTCACAAGTGCTTGTAACAGCCTAGACTGAATAAATGACTTTTCATTTCATTTCAATATTGTTTCAATCTCCTTTGCATTTCAATGGAATTCGTTTTGGTCATAGACGTCGAAAAAACAATATGCGACAAACCCGCATTTATGGATAAGATGCGAATAGCCGTAACACACTTGATTTGAACGTGAGAGCATTTCCAATTCGTCTTTTTCACACTTTATCTTGTCATCAGCCTATTTATATCTCCATTGCTGGGGGCCAGGCCTTCTCTATGCATAGAATAGGGAATAGGGCCATCGCCCATCACGCGGGCCCAGTGCGGATAGGTACCCTTAATTACTTACACTTTATCTGCCTAGTTTTCAGTTTCAGTTTATGTTGTTGTTTTGTTGGTTGGTACGGTTTTCTCTCTCTATGTTTATAATACCAATTATAAACTTGAAGATTATTTTTACCAAAAAAAAAAACACTCGGTCGTGGTGTAAGCTGGATTCGAACTAGTACGTTCTGATTTCCGGGCAGATGTCGGTCATATTCCGATAACCGCTAGCTACTAAGAGCGGCTATACACTGACTGCTCGAGCATTGACCGGTGATCAACCAACATACACGGACCGCTCTCGAGCAGTTAGCCAGCTGTCTGTGTATATGTGTACGCAGAATATTGTAGTGAATTATGCAGTTGCAGCTTGAAACTATAAGACCTAAATGGCTGTATCCTAATTACGTAATTCAATAATAAAAAAAAAACTCTTATTCAGAGGGCGCTGCAAAAACGGTCGTTAGCATTTATTTCCATTATTAATGTCGACAGGCGCGTGCGTTCCAATGCCCCGTAGCAGGGTGCGGGTTCGCGTCGGGATGGGCGCGCGGGGTGCGGGGACACCTGGCGCGCGACCACCACTCCGACCCCGCCGCCGCCGACCATCTGCTGCGCGACAACCCCGCGCTCGACGACCTCACGCGCTACCTGCAGCGGCTCAAGAACAAGGTAACCGGCCACCGGCCCGACCGTCTGCTGCGCGACAACCCCGCGCTCGACGACCTCACGCGCTACCTGCAGCGGCTCAAGAACAAGGTAACCGGCCACCGGCCCGACCGTCTGCTGCGCGACAACCCCGCGCTCGACGACCTCACGCGCTACCTGCAGCGGCTCAAGAACAAGGTAACCGGCCACCGGCCCGACCGTCTGCTGCGCGACAACCCCGCGCTCGACGACCTCACGCGCTACCTGCAGCGGCTCAAGAACAAGGTAACCGGCCACCGGCCCGACCGTCTGCTGCGCGACAACCCCGCGCTCGACGACCTCACGCGCTACCTGCAGCGGCTCAAGAACAAGGTAACCGGCCACCGGCCCGACCGTCTGCTGCGCGACAACCCCGCGCTCGACGACCTCACGCGCTACCTGCAGCGGCTCAAGAACAAGGTAACCGGCCACCGGCCCGACCGTCTGCTGCGCGACAACCCCGCGCTCGACGACCTCACGCGCTACCTGCAGCGGCTCAAGAACAAGGTAACCGGCCACCGGCCCGACCGTCTGCTGCGCGACAACCCCGCGCTCGACGACCTCACGCGCTACCTGCAGCGGCTCAAGAACAAGGTAACCGGCCACCGGCCCGACCGTCTGCTGCGCGACAACCCCGCGCTCGACGACCTCACGCGCTACCTGCAGCGGCTCAAGAACAAGGTAACCGGCCACCGGCCCGACCGTCTGCTGCGCGACAACCCCGCGCTCGACGACCTCACGCGCTACCTGCAGCGGCTCAAGAACAAGGTAACCGGCCACCGGCCCGACCGTCTGCTGCGCGACAACCCCGCGCTCGACGACCTCACGCGCTACCTGCAGCGGCTCAAGAACAAGGTTGTAAATCTGGGTCTGCAATAGACCCTTTGTCGCTTGTCGCTCTCAGAGTTAGTAAATCTTAGGCGCCCACCGCCGTCTTTTAAGTAACATTGGTTATTCCCTAATGTATTGCCTAAATGACCTTTGAAAAATCTCTCGTTTTTCTTAAATTTACCTTTAGAAATACAAACTAGAAACATGTGGATAAATATTATAAATATGAATACCTATAACTGTTACTTTATTACAAAAAATAAAGATGTGCTTTTTGGTTCTACTACACCAATGGTCAAGAGATGGCGCTGTAGTCTCCTGAATCGCGCTTTGGTTCCGTTGTTCCAGATTAATAAATACTTTTGATAGGCCTTCACAATGCAGTCGTTAGCACCCACTAAAAAGAGATTCTATTTTGTTGGTAGATTTGCTTAATGTGCGGTAAACACAAAAGTAACGCATGAAGTTGGTCGCTAAAGCGACTAACTTCATGCTGTTAATAATTTGTGTTACAGTGATCCGCGCGCATCTTAAAATTCCATTCTCATCATTTTTTCATAACGCGCCTAAAGAAGTATAACTTCAAAAAGCATCCTTATTTATTGGTTAAATCACGATCAGGTCGAAGCCCGGAACGAGAGGCGGAACAACGGGGGCGGTGCCGGTGGCGGGGGCGCGGAGGCGGCGGCGCCGGCGCCGGTGGAGGCGGGGGAGGCGGGCAAGCGGTACGCGTGCGCCTCCTGCCCCTACGCCACCGACCGCCGCGACCTCTTCACGCGCCACGAGAACATCCACCGCGACGAGAAGCCCTTCCACTGCTACCTCTGCCAGAAGCAGTTCAACCGCGCCGACCACGTCAAGAAGCACTTCCTGCGCATGCACCGCGACCAGCCGTACGACTTGAACCGCATCCGGCGCTCGCCGGCGAAGCCCCCGCCGGCAGCGGCGGCGCCGGCGCCCGCGCTGCACTACTACAGCAAGCCGCCGGCGGAGCCGCCGCCCCCCACGCTGGAGTTCCGGCCGGCGCCCGCCCCCGCCCCGGCCCCGGCCCCGGCCCCGGCGCCCGCCCCCGCCCCGGCCCCGGCCCCCGCGCCCGCTCCGCCCATCAAGCTGGAGCGCGCGCCGGTCAGCAAGGTGGAGCCGGCGCCGCCCCCGCAGCCGCACCACAAGCAGCCCGCCACGCATCAAGCCCCCGCCCAAGCACCGGTTCGACGAAAGGTTTACTTTTAATACCACTTTTGGAATACGAACATATGTGCTCGGAGACGGTCAAACTGTTTATTTGAATGGTTCATTGAGTCGATTGAAATAGTATCATCATCATACTGATGTCCTCCCTGCATGCGCAGAGGCCTTCCCTATAAATGGAACAGGGAATTTAGTCTGTCCCACCACGCGGGCCCAGTGCGGATTCGTGGGTATTGATGACTGCAGATGCAGCCGGGAACTCGAGATATTAAGTTTTTGACATCCATCTAATGACAGAACATTGCGAAAGTTGCTTAACTTTCATAATCGCAGGCCGAACACGCTAACCACCTGCGCCATCGAGCTCCTCAAATGAAGAAAGTATGTATCGGATTAATCTTAAGATAATGACATGCAAATTAAATTAAATTTAGTTTCGCACATAATTCTAAACCAAGCTTAAATCCGAGACTTCACTAATCAAAAATAAGATAATTATGAAGACACTCGCGAGCAACCAAATCGACTCTAGCGCTACCTCTGCATTCAAACATTGTTTAAAGTAAAAGTATACAATACTTTTTGAAGTTATACTTCTTTAGGCGCGTTATAAAAAAATTATGAGAGTGAAATTTTAAGATGCGCGCGCATCTGTAACACAAAAAATTAACACCGAGAAAAGTTACGAGTTTTGAATTTAGAACAGAGACTGTTTTCATATCTATATATATAAAAATGAAACCCGTTTTCCGTTGTCACGACATAACATGAAAACGGCTTGACCGATTTGGCTGTTTTTTTTTGTAGTTTTCTAATACTCTGTACAAGGTTCTTACGGAAAAAAATATAAAGAAAATCCCAAGGGGATAAAATAAGGAATGAAAGTTTGTATGAAACTTTATCAATTTTAAACCGATCGGGCTGAGACTTTGCATGCAGGTATAAGAAGAATCATAGATGAATGTCATTGTGTATAATACAAGCCTGAGAACAAAAACTGTAGTCTACACTTCAGCTCTACACCGAAGCGAAGCGAGGGCGGGCCGCTAGTTTATAATATTTATCCACATGTTTCTAGTTTGTATATTCGGAATACGTGTTTGAGTTTCATACAAGTGCAAATCACATATGTTCTAATAAATTATATTCAGTAGCGATTTTAATTGAATATTTTGATTATTTATTTATTTTTTCAAATTAAAACTGAACTTTATTGACTGTGTCCTTTTCCAGACTTTTTATTAATTTATTGTAATTAATTATTTGCATGCAATTAAAAACTAATTTTAAACGATGCCAAAGAAGGATAACTTCTCACGCGCCTACATAAGTACACGCACCCATATTTTTTAAAATGATAATTATGTCATGCGAAAGTTTGAAACTTCAGCTTTTATTAGATATCATCATTCATTCAATATCCATGTATCTTTATATATATAATTCTTCTGTGAGTGTGTATGTCACTGAACTTCTCTTAAACGACTGGACCGATTTTGATGAAATTTTTTGTGTGTGTTCAAGGGGATCTGAGAATGGTTTAGATTCACAATTTTGTCCGCTGGACAACCCCTATTTTTTTAGGGCGGTACGAAGTTCGCTGGGTCAGCTAGTCTTTTTATATATTATTGGTGAATGAACTTAAACTGGGGAAAATGGGATTATGGATAAAGGAGTTGTGTTCAGAATTGACACAAATAAAACACTTTTTTTTTCTTAAGTATATTTATTGGTTCAGTATTTGGTATTTCCATTCAGACTGCTTCATAGTAACATTGACGACACGCAGTTGTTATCCATTAATAATGGCGCTGTTTGGTGCTCCGTAATACTTTCCGAGGCTTCACTTGAATTGTTAAAGAAAACTCTTATACAGCATCACCTCTTATATTTGCTCCGAAGCTGTCCCTTGAAGCTATATAGGAATCTGATTTACATTAGGAGTAACATGTGTTACTCCTACTAAAATAGTGTTATTTAGAGAAAATATTGCATGCAAATAATTAATAATTACAATAAAATAATAAAAGGACTGGAAAAGGATAGTTAACACAGTCAATTAAGTTCAGTTTTAATTTGAAAAATTTAATAAATATTCAATATATTCAATTAAAATCACTACTGAATTAGCACTTGTAAGTAACTAAAACACGTTGTGTCTATATAGAAACTAGAAACATGTGGATAAATATTATAAATATGAAAACAGTGATCAGAGGCGACGAGCGTGCCAACATTGTTTTTGACAACGCGATCACCTTATGGAGCTCCGTGGATCGTTCAAAGTACCTTTCGAACATTCATAACGCTCCCGCGGCCAACTTCATGGTGTTACTATTGCGTTACAGTGATGCGCGCGCATCTCGAAATTTCACTCACATGATTTTTTCATAACGCGCCCGCGGCCAACTTCATGCTGTTACTTTTGGGTTACAGTGACGCGCGTGCATCTAAAAATTTCACTCTCATCATTTTTTCATAACGCGCCTAAACAAGTATAACTTCAAAAAATTCCACGCGGGCCATGCAGCAGATGGGACTCGAACCCGCACCCTTCGCTATCTGGGTAAACGCACCGACCATTATGCTACCACGGCCCTGATGGTCATGTCGAATTCATCAGCCTAGCCTTTCTTAGGCTGCAAGGCGGCGCCATCTCTTCACATCGAAGATAACCCACAATGTCAAGTGAATTTTGAAGGAAAAAATAGCAATTATAGTAATAATTTTTATTTTTTAAAGCAAACACTGTATCTGGGCCGCTGTAGCATAACGGTCAGTGCATTCGCCAGGATAACGAAGGGTGCAGAATATTTTCTTTAGACTTAAATATCGAGCAGTTACATGCTCCAAAATAAAAATGATAACTAGTGTTATTTAGGTTAGTTTTGGGAGGAGGTTCGTTTGTACCAAAGTATCGCGGTATCTGCATGGATGCTCGCATTATGTGTGTGTGTGTGTGTGTGTGTGTGTGTGGGTGTGCAGGGCGAGCGTCGGTACGCGTGCTGCTACTGCACGTGGTCGGGCGTGGACAACTGGTGCCTGAAGCGTCACCTCAACACGCACCTGAAGCCGTTCGCGTGCGCGCTCTGCGAGTACAAGGCGGCGCGCGCCGAGAGACTCGCCACGCACGTGCACAAGGTGCACAACAAGAAGGCCTGCGCCAAGTGCCCCTTCCTGGCCGACGACCAGGCGCAGCTCGCGCTGCATCTCCGCGATGCACAGTCAGTACTCTGCACCACTGTTACGTTATAATACGTGCCAAACTTCTTGAGCGACGACAGCAGAAAAGGAAGCCTGTTCAGTAGCAATTTCACATGCTGAAACGTCTCCTGCGCAAGTATATTTCTTTGTGGTTTTGCTCAACAAGTTTGCCGCTGCGGTATACCCACAGACCACCTGTCTATTCCGTTTTATAGATATCTTAGAGAATAACCTCATCCACCTGATAATATGTATGGACAAAGATCAATTCATCATCATCATCAGCCTATTAATGTCCCCACTGCTGGGGCACAGGCCTTCCCTATGGATGGAATAGGGAGATTGGGCCGTGACCCACCACGCGGGCCCAGTGCGGATTGGTGGGCGCTAACGACTGCAGATGCAGCCGGGACCAACGGCTTAACGTGCTTTCCGAAGCACGGAGGAGCTCGAGATAGTAAATTTTTGGTCACCCATCCAATGACCGACCACTGCGAAAGTTGCTTAACTTCAACGAACGCAGCCGAACGCGCTAACCACTTGCGCCATCGAGCTCCTATATATATAGATATATATATAAAGATTACTTACAGAGACAAATTTAATGCGTCCAGCTCTTCTTCAATAAACTATCGAAATCATTTTCTAAATATCTAAATACTGCGTAATACTTAAATTTTCATTTCCGGATGTGAATGAGTATTCATTCAACATTATCATCCTATTAATACCCGACTGCTGGAGCCGCACAGGTCTTCCTTATGGGTGGAATAAGAGGATCGAGCTATGATCTACCGCGTAGCCTAGGACGGATCGGTCGGTGTTAACGACTGCAGATGCAGCCGGGACCGACAGTTTAACGTGCTTTCCGGAACAGAGAGGAAATTTGAGTTAATACATTTTTGGTCACTTATTAGAGGATTGTGGAGCGACTATTGCGGCAGCTGCATAACTTTCACTATGACGCATGCCGAACGAGCATTATCATTTACAGATTTCTAAGGTGAGGCCAGATTGCAAACTGTGTCAACGGGCTATCACGCTCGTACAAAAACAGTTATCACACGTAGGGAATGATATCTCGAAGTGGGAAAACGTAGGTGTTCCAGGAGGAGGATGATGGCCTACCTTATGCGGTAGTAATTTTTAATGATTGATGCGTTTCGATCTGCAGTCACATCGAGAGCCGCAACCTGAAGGTGCCTACTACGGGCGTGACGCGCGTCGCCGGCAACACGTTCACGGCGGGCCCCAGCGGGGACGCCGGCGTCGGCGCGGCGGGGGCGGGGGTGGGGGTGGGCGTGGGCGCGGGGGTGGGCTCGGTGACGGCCGGCGGGGGAGGGGCCGGGGAGGGGTCCGGCGCGGGGGGGAGGCGGAGGGAGGGGCGCGCGGCGGGGGCGGCGCGGCTGTTCGGATACCTGGAAGCATCGGACGGGTCGGGCGACGAGTACGAGGCGGCGCTGGGCGGGGAGTTCGCGCCGCCCGCCCCCGCGCCCGCGTCGGCGCCGCAGCACTACCGCGACAAGGAGAACGCCGCGCCCATGCACCACGCCGTGCACCACGACCACTGCCTGCGGTACTGAGGGGGCCCCGGGGCTCGCGGTCCTGTACCACTGCCAGGGAAGGAAAACGGTCGCGGAGACGTGCTCTGGTGTTATGTACGATTGTATCGACCGAAGCTGCTCGGGTCGAAGCCGGAATACATTGGAAATCGGTCGAATTTCATTCTGGATTTCTGAAAACTATCGTGCGAGGTGGCTTCGTTTGTTCGCTTCTTCCTTGTTTCTCCGTTGATAAGATTTGTCGTCCGCCATCGGAAGCTCGCGGACGCGAAGAACATGTTGAAGATTGAGAGGAGAACTTTTTGTTTTTATTAAATTGAACATAGCTTAAGTTGTTCGACAACTTCTGTACAAATTGTTATAAGTCGTGAAAAGAAATATATTACTATGATGATTCGAGCGTTTCGTTTCATTTCCCTCCGAATCATCGTCGAGCCGGGTGATAAATAAAAGTCTCCCGCATCGGTAATACTGGTTTATTGAGTGCGCGTTTACAGGTATTTCGAGTCATTCGATGCGTCGAATCGGCGTTCGGCGCCGGCTCGAAGCGCATCATCATCGCATACATCGTCATATCACACGAGCGGGCGAGGGCGCGGCCCCGCTTCAAAACGTCTACAAAAATATTCACATCTGCGCCGCCGCCCCGCGCATACAAAAATAAACATTATGTATATAGGGTCGGGTACAAAACGATACACTCTTAAGGACTAGGTGGCCGGGCGCGCGGACGTTAGCAGGGCGGGTCGGAGCGCGCGGGGGTGGGCGGGGCGGGCGGGGCGGCGCGGGGGTGCGGCGTGGGGCGGCGCAGCAGGGCGGGCTTGGCGGCCAGCGCGGGCTTGAGCGACCCGCCCGTCAGCGTGAGGTCGGCGAACTTGGCCGCCACGCGCGCCGTGTTGCGCGCCGGCACGGGGCTGCCCGTGCCCGTGTCGCTGCCCGCCTCGCTGCCCGTCTCGCTCCCGGAGCCGGCCTCGTGCGGGGCGACCGTCGCGTCACCATCCGACGCGGCGATACTGTCTCCCTCCGGTTTAGCGTCCTCCGGACCGGGTGTTCGCCTGTTCAGATAAAACTAGCGATGAAGCTCCAAAACCTTGGACGAGACAGAAATTCTACAATATTCATCCACGTGAAACGACCTGAATAAACTATATGTAAAAATGAAATTGACGCGTTCAACATTAAAGTCCTTTCAGAAACAGGAATAGGTCATAGATCACGACATGATCGGTGATTTAGTGTACTTTAACCAATACTAAAATTTAGTCCGACTCTAAGACCGCAATAAATCACTGTATCATGTCAGGTTGTGGTGCAAATGCACGAGGGTCGAACTCCACACGACGGGATCTACAAAAATCGAAATAAATAATATTTGAATTAAAAAAAAATACAAAAATGTTTCAGTATCTAAACTATCAGTTACAATTTTAAGACGACTATATCTTTATCAGATCAGTGCTGTGACCTTATGTTGCAGCGTTGAATGAGTAGTGACCATTTTGGTTATAATAATTTTGTATGCCTATGTATATAATAATATTCTATAACCACTATAATCTACTTTTGTTATAACCAATAAACTTGTTTGATTTGATTGTTATTATGCCGGCACTTGACTATTCGTGTTTGCTATTTGTAAACACGACTTCAGTCTGTCCTTTTCATTCCTTGTAGAACATGATAAGAACAAACCGATATCATGTTTACAAATAGCAAACACGAATAGCCAAGTGAAGTACAGACATTTAGTATCAAATTTGTGTTGAATAAAACAGACAACTGACCTGCTAGCAGGTCGTTTCTTGAGCGTGTCCCGATTATGAAGGAAAGTGTCGGCGGAGTCTGATGCGGCGTCCGCAGTCACAGGGGCGGGTGAAGGGGTGGGGTCGGGCGCGGGGTCGGACGCAGGGTCGGACTCGGGCGCGAGGGCGGGGTCAGGGTCGGGGGCGGGGCCCGGGCCGGTCGCGGCGCGCGCGGGCAGGTCCAGCACCAGGTCCGGAGTGCTCTCCGCTAGCCGCCTGCTGCGGACCAACCAGGTTATCGACGATCGACAAACACTCATAAGCTGGGCTGTTGACATAGCAAGCCCCGTGCGGACAACACGCTATACCTATGATCTGTTTGGTAGCATTGAGATGATTATTTCTAATACAATAATTATATGATGTATGGCGTTCCATGAAACGAAAGAGAATTTTTACACACTCTCCGCTTTTTAAAGGCGCTTGTTATATCAATTCCCTTTTAGGGGCACGTAAAACATTCCATTTAAGGACGGGTAATAGAGAGACAACATTGAAACTGCGATTTTAGTCCTACTGTTACTAAAATGACATTTATTGGGTAAGATGGTAGGTGATTACAAAAAATCCCCATACTCGTCTTGAAGCGAGAATTACAAGTGGATATGAATGGATATACCTGGAAACTTGTACTGGCGAAGGTTACCACTGTTAATTGCTTGGGTATGATTTTTACAAATATGGCATCGTAGAAGTGTTGAACTGTATTCCCATCGAAGTAAAGGTTGTGGTCAACGTATTCAATAATATGTCGTCTAGAATTACAACTAAGATGATGATATTAGAAAAATATTTCCTTTGACAAGTGTAGCGTGAGAGTCCCACAAATTAATGTAAAATGAAAAGAGAATAATTAATTTCGCAATTTAATTAAACTAGTAAAAAATGGTAAACGGTTATGGGAGGAGCACACTCGGTATGAATGCTGGGCAATGTGAATTAAAATAAACTACAAACGATTGCACATACTAAACCGGGTAATAAGCATAGATTAAAACAAAAAGGGCAAATACGGCACTAGCCTCACAAAAGTGATCCGCACAAATTGTAATTGTGGTCCACGACCCTAATCGAGTCACAACTTGACATGCAAACGACGTACATGTGAACGCCAAAAAGAAATATTGATAATATTTTGTGTTTATATGATAAAACAATGCCTAAGTATGTTTTTAAATAAAAAGTGCTCAAATTGCTCAAAAACTAAAAATAAAACCCACGGTATCACTTTTCATTCGTAAGTACTATAAAATATATTTTTTCATAAAAATTGCTGTTTGTTTTGAATCTTATTCGGTAGTGCCGTCGCGTACTGGTCGCGTGATTGGTCGGTAGTGCAGTGACGCGGATCGCCCCGTCTCGTTCGCGCTGCCGTTGAAACTTAACGTGCTGTTTCGTTCGGGTCGGTAATGCAGTGACGCGGATCTCGCCGTCCCTTTCGCGCTGCCGTGGGATCAGTTTTTGTTTGATGCAAGTATGAGCGTACCGTATCTACCCTTTTTGTTTTAATCTAAGGCAATAAGTTAACTAATGACCGCGCGCTATAATTCGGGTCGAATGCACTGTAGGTCGCAGAACAAGCACACCGGATGTGATGGTATAAGGATAGCAATAGTTACCTGCAGTGCGGCGTAGAGACGGGGGGCAGGTCTGCTTGGGGCGCGGCCGCGGGCGCGGGCTCGGCCGGCTCCTGCGGACCACACACGGCTACTGTACAGTACACTACCCAACCGCACGCCGCATCACTCCCATCCCCTCCCCTCCCCTCCACCCATCTACCCCAACTCTAACCCTGCAAGCAACCTCCCTCCCCCAGGGTCGTGCCCAGAGTTGTATTTAAGACTAGCGGCCCGCCCTCGCTTCGCTTCGGTGTAGAGCTGAAGTGTAGACTACAGTTTTTGTTCTAAGGCTTGTATTATACACAATGAAATTCATCTATGATTCTTCTTATACCTGCATGCAAAGTCTCAGCCCGATCGGTTTAAAATTGGCGAAGTTTCATACAAACTTTCATTCCCTATTTTATCCCCTTGGGGGTAGAATTGATCAAAATCCTTCCTCAGCGGATGCCTACGTCATAACATCTACCTGCATGCCAAATTTCAGCCCGATCAGTCCAGTAGTTTGGACTATGCGTTGATACATCACTATGTCAGTCACTCACCTTTGAGTTTTATATATATAGAAAAATAGGCCTTTCACAAGCTGCCGCCTCGTTTAAGCTAAGCCATTGCACCACAATCCCCCGCCTCTAGCTACAACCCTGTCCCTGCCTCGGTACTTGTAATCTTTAATGTCCTAAACATGATGTATGCTCATAAATCGAAATTCGATCTTGTAAACTGGTCCTGAATAAACATTTATTATAATTATGTAACTACAAAATAAGCTATATTAATAACTAGTGGCCCGCCGTCGCTTTGTTTCGGTGTAGCAGGGGACCTCTAGTTGTGACATAACTGTAATAGATAGACATATGGTATCGCGGATTTTTTTGTAGATATTGTTATCCTCTATAAAACTTTAGTACATCACTTTGCTCTATTATCAATGACTTCTACAGCGTACGCGATATAATGCTATTTTTTGGTATATTTTACACAAGTTAGGTTACATTATCGAAGTTTTCATACGGAACCCTAACTTTTTTAAAAATACGATATAGCCTATATTAATCAGTGATAATGTAGCAACAAATGGTGAAAGAATTTTTAAAATCGGTCCAGTACTTTTTGAGCCAATTCGTTACAAACATGCTTACATACAAACTTTTCCTCTTTATAATATTAGTATAGATAATTTAGAAATAATCATGATACAACATTGACGGATATAAACAAGTAGTCGAAGTGCATCAAAAAACGTGAATGGCGCTGGGATATATAAATACAATTATAGAGATAACATTAACACATTTGTTCGATTTAAACATTATATCGTGACAGTAAGATTCAATTTTAATTGTACACGAGAGAGAAAGAGTTTGATTACGGTACGAGAGAGACCCACGATCACGTGACGCGCGGGGCGTTGGGCGACCACCAAATCAGGTATTTTATTGTAGCTATTTAACAAAATTATGTAATTATCTTGGCAGCATAAATAATTACATAATTTTGTTAGTGAAAGAGATACTTACCCGAATTACAAAACACCACCTTTTTAGGTGTAGATCTGGTGACATTTGCACAGTTTTTAACCGAACACTTTCTCATTGCTTGGCGTTGTAATCAAAACGCGGTCGAAACACGACTGTTTGAAAATTACGCACAAGAAACACGTGCGCATAATTTTTCTACCGATGCGTTTTGAGCGTATTGTGAGTCTACTTATTTTAATACATCAATGTGATGCAAGTACAAATATTTGTTCTCATCGCACAAACTAATGCCTATTCTAGGAATCGAACCTAGAGCTGAGAAGGCAGGATAGCTGCTGTTTCATCAACATCAATGTAAAATTAGCTTGATGAATTAGAATACCATTTCATTTATTGATTGGGTTAGAGACAACTTTCGGTCCCCCGTTTAAGAAACACAGGTTTGCTCATGGAGTAGGGGTGATATTTACTATTGTAAAAGTTAATATTGGAGAACAAGTGCAGACACAAAACATTTGTATATAACACATAGCATTAAAAATACATTAAATTGCAAACTACGACCATACTATTGGCACAAAAAAACATGTTTTTGACAAAAGAACTATAAAGGTCGATATTTCGGTCAGCAAGTGATCATTAGTAGTAAGAAATTCATAATTTTCTTTTGGTTTCTGGTATGGGGACCACTTAATTTCAATCGAACGGATAAGTGAAAACCAGTTCGTGGAGCCAATTTTTAAAACACAATTGCTTAAAAAATATTATATAAAACTGTTTCACATAAGTGGTCTGCCATTGGTTGAAATAAAGATGTCAATACGGACAGAGTAAGAAAAGATTGTCTTTACGCGTTACTAACTCTTCCTCATTATAATAAATTGTTATTCAAATCAGTTTTTGTCTAGACCAAACCAATGTCCAATGCAGATTAATGATGAGTAGTTCCAAAATATGTATTTCAAAAACTAACACAGATTGATTAGGGGTGCTATTAATTAGATGTTCTTGATTGTAATTTCTCATTTTTTTTTATTTTTGTTGAAGTGTCTCAAAACATGCACCCAACACCAACTTCATATCGCGTCTATTCACACACAGACACACACACACAAACACACACGCACGCATACATATTTACATAAATATAAAACAGAAGCGTAAATTAAAACAAAAACATGCATATTGTGAAACAAGTTTATTGTTCATTATCACATAACAAGCGTCACGGGCAGCGGACAGCGCCGGGCGCGGAGTTAGTATATCTCAGTCTTTGATAAGGCAGTGTCTTCACGGAAGCAGAGCGTCTACCACGCACTCGACATTATATAGTTACTTACAAATATATTTTAAATAAAATATTATTATTTTGTCTATCGTCGAAGGAAATTATTATACATACTATAATATGAATACTATTTCCATTGTCTGCACATCGATAATATAAAAAATCGATGCATCTCCACTTAACGATTATAAAGAAGTCTTTATTTTGAAATTTTACTATTAATAAATTATTGGTATTCTTACAATACATATATTATGTTCGTTTACATGGAAAGCGGCGCCAAGCATCAATATATTGCCAAAACACCGTCACCTTATTAATATAGAATCTCAGTCTCAGGCAAGATATGTCATTATGTATAATATACAATCATCAATTCGATGTATTTAATCGATCATTAGAATAGAATCGAGAGAACAGCTTAAATGGCTGGGAACGACCGTCGTTTACACAGCAATAATACAAATTAAATGTTTAATGAGTCAAAGGTCGCGCACACCGAGCGTTCGCAAGCTGAATAACTATGTATAAAAATAAATACCGACAGCGCCCTCTCTTCGCCCGTATTCAATATTTTCGATGATTTCGAAACGATGAACGATGAAACAAAACTTTATTATTGACAAGTGTTTAGACTTACAGGAATTCAGGTCTTTTTATACAGTTTCAAAAACATCGAATTTTTCGATTTGATTTGATTACATTACGTGTTACAAGTGAGTGCAGGACCTCCTGTTACAGGCATCTTGAACGCTTACTTACATGATTTTTAATAATGATGCTCAATGATTTAAAATGAAACATTATCTTAATTTCTAGGCTTCGAACAGGGACGTAGAGAGTGGGCCCCCAGCAAGCGCGCAGGCAGTCATATTGACACTACAAGCCACTACACAACATCTTTCATCATCAACTTCACAGCTAATCTTATCTAAACATGCCATTGTGTAAATATTTCCAATATACAACATACACGAATAGCACCGTTCATAATTTAAAGCTTCTTTGATTTCGTATCGAACAACACGACTTGGAAAACGTACAAAAAAGCGTGCATCGAACGAAACGTAAAATAACATAAAACGTATAAAATATGGGATAGTTTTAGTAACAGTAAACAAGTTACAGACGCACCACAGTTTACCCAAGCAACGTCCTCGTCTTCTTCTAATCTTACTTTTATTTAATAAAACCTAAACTTAATCCGACTTTTTTTCAAAGAGTTCTATCCTATATCTGACATTCAGACACATAGATAAAACAATTCAGTCACCATCATCAAAACGCAATTGAAACGACAAGCACTCAGAACATTGTTTCGGTAAACTGACAGCTAATTGTTTAACAAAATAGTGTAGTATATAGACATGCAGTGTTCTCACAGAGCACGCCCACTAGAAACCAAATGTTATGTAGTAATACTACAAAGGCGTGCGACACGCTCCCAGACGTCGCGATACAAGGTTGCACTAATTTGTCATCAGACCGCGGCTTACTCTTTCCGCACGCCGCCAGCTATGCTGATCAAAACTATGTATTCCACGATTTCATACCAAAATTGAGTTCAGGGCGACAAGGCTCTTTATCAATGTGAGTGACAGCTCAGGGGGGGCGCCACTATCTATAACCGTAATTGACAAACAAAATATGACGTTAAAAAAGACGGCGGCATTAGTTAAAATTTTCGTCACATTTATAAAGCTCCTTGTCGCACTATGATGCGGAATCTAGCGGGCGTGATTTGTGAGAGTACAGTGGTGTGATGTGGTGTCATACGGCGGTCTCGAACAGCGCTACCTGCAGGTCATGAGCCGCCACACCGGCCGGGCCTGCTGCCTGCCCCGGACCCGGACCCGACCCAGGCCCCGACCCCGGCCCCGACCCCGGCCCCGGCCCCGGCCCCGGCCCCGGCCCCGACCCCGACCCCGGACCCGACCCCGCACCCGTCGACCTGACGCACACAAACACTCGCTACACCGAACGGCACAGAAGCAACCACAAAATTATCCCGAACTGGGGCCCAATTCTCGCGGCATAGATATTATATCACCTTCGATATATATCGAATGATCTGGCTTTTATCGAAGGAAAACTTTTTTGCCCTATTCTCACCATGTCGCAATAGATATTTATCTACGGATGATCAGTAGACATACATCGACTGGTAAAGAGCCTTTGATATATAAATATCTATGGATCTTGGCATGTCAATCTTGTTATTTCCACTTTTTTTACCTATTATTTATTGTGTTGTCGTGTGTCTTTGGCAATTATTGTTACCTCAAGATGTTGTTAACTGCCTTCATAAATAATTAGTAAATAAAGAAGTAGGTAAACAATGGTGTCGATTCTGGCGTGATTCTCTAAACTTAAAACTAAATTTAACATCAGTCTCTCTTTTTCATTCTGTATAGAGAATGACAAGGAAACACTGTTGTCAAGTTTATGTTTAGATTTAGAGAATCGACACCAGTTTATATTAACGATGGATGAGTTGATTCATGTTTTCGTCAATGCTTTAATAAATGACGTGATTGCTGCTGCTGTGCTAAGGCGCCGCCGTTGTGAGAGCAAGAGGACCCATTTGAAATGAGGGACGCCGACTTAAAAAAATTACGTTTAAACAAAAATTTGGTTAGAAATCTTTAAAGTTATGAATGACATTGGTATCGATTCTGACACGATTCTCTAAACTTAAAACTAAATTTAACATCAGTCTCTCCTTTTCATTCTGTATGGAGAATGAAGTTGTCAAATTTACGTTTAGGTTTACCGAATCATGCCAGAATCGACACCATTTTCTTATTGACGATACGGAGTTTTGGCGGGATTTCTGCGAGTGCGGTTGGCATCTTATTTTAATTATTCTAAAATTCGTTCATAGTGGATATTGTGAAATAAAATTGGTGTGATTTGGTGTTACAACCGTCTGCGCAACTGAAGAATTAGTGGAATCTTTAAAATATACGCTATTCCGGTCAAGTGGACGCGAGAAGTTTATTGTAGTGTTGACTACCTCACAGAAGCTTAGAGAAAAAGCCAACTCCATAAATTTCGTGTCAAACACTCCAAGAAACATTAGAATGCGTCACACCGACATTCGAATGTAAAAAAAAGAAGATTAATATAACTAAAGACTAGGCTTTATGGGAATTGTTCCCTTTGCCTTCCCTGAAAAGGGAGAATCTTAAATAATATTGACGTTTCATTATACTTAACGTAGAAATTATATACGCATACAATTTAGGTAAAGTTGAGATTTCTTATACTCAAAAAATGTATACTCATATTTAATATGAATGGAATTCATAAAATATCATTTTTTTGCTTGTAAAATTCTGCTCTAATTTATTATTATTTTATATAGACTATGATGTTAACTTAATCGAGAAAAACGGAACGCATTCGGCAGTGAAAGAATATCTACGATAGATATAATATCATTGGAATATCGAAAATCCACGAGAATAGCATTTTTTACCATCAGTAGATATTTTCAATAGATATCCCTACTTTCGATATTATCTCGAAGACGATATAATATCTACGCCGCGAGAATTGGGCCCCTGGACTTAAGAGCAAGCGCAGATTGAGCCACTACACGCAGCCACCGATCACCAACGCTAGTGGCTTAGTGGCAGCCCCTCGAACGCTCAGTTTGCGCGGATCCTATACGAAACGTATGAAAAAACTCAACCGCAGCTTGTGGCCGCCACTAATGGCTCAATGTGCGCTTGTTCTCTTATAAAAATTACAGAACATAGCAGCGATTCCAATAATAAGTACTCAACGATCTGTATAGTCTCCGGTAGCTCAGAAAGAGTAAAACAAACGACGCGAATTCGTGTATTGTCTGCAAAAACAAGTTCTCTTCAAATATAAAAAACATAGAGCGCATCTGATACTGTAAAGATTTGTAACATACATATACCTAAAGAAGATACTAAGCGATTAAAATGGCAGTTTCTATAGTCTCAAAAAATAGTGTTTTTTAGAAAAAAACAACTGACACTCGACCAAGCTAAATTTGGCGTCACTGTCACATATTTGATGCTCTTTCATCTCCTCTACTTTATGTTTCCAAATTGAAACTAAGTATTAAGTTCATTCAAACGTTACTATCTATTCAAATCTCGAACTTTCTCAAGTTAATGAGCTTAACTAACAGTTAAATATTTTACATTAACAAATAAGAATAGGAGAAGTGTGGTAATGTGTAGCCTAGATGAGTACTGACCTATTCTCGGTAGAGTTGGAATCCTGCCACTCGCCGCTTTCGCCATCCTCGCTGATGTCGTCTAAAAAACATTTAATATTGTGTATATTCAAAACTGTGTAAATAAAAGTCAAAGTGACGTATGTAAATATATGTAAATAACATAATATGTAGTGATAATGTACATACCGTCGTCGTCGTCGTAGAGCGACAGGTCGTCGCGCGAGTCCGGCTCGTCCGACTCCTCCGCGCTTGGAAACCTGCCGCGTCACAAACAAACGTGTTACTGTATCAGCTTTACATTATTATTATGTTTTTATTTTATAAGCATTTAACTGTTTATTTCTAAAGAAATTGTTACATGATTACTCAATTTCTTTACACAGATACAGATTTGTTATTCAGAAGAGTGACTTGTGCGTTAACAAAGACGTTATTAAAAACCCTGAATACACTACGTGCTCTTAAAATGTGTCCCAATCAAGAAGTGCTTGTACACCACTCCAGCACTTCTTGGTTCACAGTCACGCGCGGACCGTTGAAAAGTCAACATGCCGCAGAGCTCCGTGAAAAATGCAAAAAAAAATTAAATACCTACGTACTACTGTTGTTTTTTCGACAGGTATCTTATCAATGTTTGTTAATTTAAACGCATTTAAAGCCAATTTTGTTTAAATACTTACTATAAACTGATTTAATAGTTTTTTTTTGTGATATTCAAAAACATTGTCGATTATACAGCCGTCTCTTTTCCTCGCGCTCCGTACCAGCTATATTACTAACAATGTATTCAGAATTACGCGAAGAATCAAAGAAAAAAAATCTATATTCTTCCGCCTATAGCAACCAGTTGAGGCAAGCTTGCATTTCGAACTGTCATAACTTTTTTGACGCATGCGTTTAACTTAAGATCATTTAAATTATACGTTAAAGGTGACTTTCACTGTTTCAATAATGCCTTATATTGTTTTTGACTACGCGATCATCTTCTTCATTCGATGGCGCAAGTGGTTAGCGCGTTCGGCTGCGATCGTTGAAATTAAGCAACTTTCGCAGTGGTCGGTCATTGGATGGGTGACCAAAAATTACTATCTCGAGCTCCTCCGTGCTTCGGAAGGCACGTTAAGCCGTTGGTCCCGGCTGCATCTGCAGTCGTTAGCACCCGCCAATCCGCACTGGGCCCGCGTGGCGGGTCATGGCCCAATCTCCCTATTCCATCCATAGGGAAGGCCTGTGCCCCAGCAGTGGGGACATTAATAGGCTGATGATGATGATCATCTTCTGGTGCTCCGTGTATATTCCAATGTACCTTATGGACAGGTTTCGGTCGCGATTTTGTTCGTGTTGTTGTATGTAGTTTTTAATATCGTTGGTTAACAATTTAATCAGAGTAGCAAATCGAATTTTATTTAAAGTTTGTGTTGTTAAAGATTACTCTTTATAATATGGGGCTTAAGAGCAAAATAATAACACAGAAAATGCTAGTTATTCTGCACAGCTAGTTAAAATGTTTATCAACGAATTAAGGGCAATAATTGTGGGCAATTGGTTGAAAAATTGATATATTTTTAAGAAATAAGGGTTGTGTGGTTTAAGGATATACTCACTGCCTGGTGTACAGCGTATGGGGCGCGATGTCCTGGGGGAAGAGGGAGTGATGGTGCAGGATGACCCGCTTCACGAGCTCGTTGACGAGGTTCTGGAGCCCAGGCAGATGGCAGTAGTGTAGGGATATACTCACTGCCTGGTGTACAGCGTATGGGGCGCGATGTCCTGGGGGAAGAGGGAGTGATGGTGCAGGATGACCCGCTTCACGAGCTCGTTGACGAGGTTCTGGAGCCCAGGCAGATGGCAGTAGTGTAGGGATATACTCACTGCCTGGTGTACAGCGTATGGGGCGCGATGTCCTGGGGGAAGAGGGAGTGATGGTGCAGGATGACCCGCTTCACGAGCTCGTTGACGAGGTTCTGGAGCCCAGGCAGATGGCAGTAGTGTAGGGATATACTCACTGCCTGGTGTACAGCGTATGGGGCGCGATGTCCTGGGGGAAGAGGGAGTGATGGTGCAGGATGACCCGCTTCACGAGCTCGTTGACGAGGTTCTGGAGCCCAGGCAGATGGCAGTAGTGTAGGGATATACTCACTGCCTGGTGTACAGCGTATGGGGCGCGATGTCCTGGGGGAAGAGGGAGTGATGGTGCAGGATGACCCGCTTCACGAGCTCGTTGACGAGGTTCTGGAGCCCAGGCAGATGGCAGTAGTGTAGGGATATACTCACTGCCTGGTGTACAGCGTATGGGGCGCGATGTCCTGGGGGAAGAGGGAGTGATGGTGCAGGATGACCCGCTTCACGAGCTCGTTGACGAGGTTCTGGAGCCCAGGCAGATGGCAGTAGTGTAGGGATATACTCACTGCCTGGTGTACAGCGTATGGGGCGCGATGTCCTGGGGGAAGAGGGAGTGATGGTGCAGGATGACCCGCTTCACGAGCTCGTTGACGAGGTTCTGGAGCCCAGGCAGATGGCAGTAGTGTAGGGATATACTCACTGCCTGGTGTACAGCGTATGGGGCGCGATGTCCTGGGGGAAGAGGGAGTGATGGTGCAGGATGACCCGCTTCACGAGCTCGTTGACGAGGTTCTGGAGCCCAGGCAGATGGCAGTAGTGTAGGGATATACTCACTGCCTGGTGTACAGCGTATGGGGCGCGATGTCCTGGGGGAAGAGGGAGTGATGGTGCAGGATGACCCGCTTCACGAGCTCGTTGACGAGGTTCTGGAGCCCAGGCAGATGGCAGTAGTGTAGGGATATACTCACTGCCTGGTGTACAGCGTATGGGGCGCGATGTCCTGGGGGAAGAGGGAGTGATGGTGCAGGATGACCCGCTTCACGAGCTCGTTGACGAGGTTCTGGAGCCCAGGCAGATGGCAGTAGTGTAGGGATATACTCACTGCCTGGTGTACAGCGTATGGGGCGCGATGTCCTGGGGGAAGAGGGAGTGATGGTGCAGGATGACCCGCTTCACGAGCTCGTTGACGAGGTTCTGGAGCCCAGGCAGATGGCAGTAGTGTAGGGATATACTCACTGCCTGGTGTACAGCGTATGGGGCGCGATGTCCTGGGGGAAGAGGGAGTGATGGTGCAGGATGACCCGCTTCACGAGCTCGTTGACGAGGTTCTGGAGCCCAGGCAGATGGCAGTAGTGTAGGGATATACTCACTGCCTGGTGTACAGCGTATGGGGCGCGATGTCCTGGGGGAAGAGGGAGTGATGGTGCAGGATGACCCGCTTCACGAGCTCGTTGACGAGGTTCTGGAGCCCAGGCAGATGGCAGTAGTGTAGGGATATACTCACTGCCTGGTGTACAGCGTATGGGGCGCGATGTCCTGGGGGAAGAGGGAGTGATGGTGCAGGATGACCCGCTTCACGAGCTCGTTGACGAGGTTCTGGGCGGTGACCTGGGCCCCCCCCTCCCCCCACGCCGCCAGCAGGGTGGGCCCCAGGCAGATGGCCAGGTTCCACGCGTCCATCATGTTATACTCGCTGTACTCCGTCAAACTAACAGGGACATACGATATAGAACTTTAATATCTGACACTTAATAACTGTTAATGAGAGTAAATTTATCGTATTGGAGTAGTAGCAGCCACAAACAATTATAGAATAGGTCGATTGTTACTTTTATGGTGTCAAATCAAATCCAATTAAACTTCAAGTATAAATAAATATGTAGTAAATAAATATTAACGAGAAGGGTAGGAAAGGGCAATGATACTTTGAACTAAAGAAAATATAACTAGAAAAAATTCCACGCGGACCAGGCAGCAGACGGGACTCGAACCCGCACCCTTCGCAAACCGGGCGAATGCACTGACCAATTATGCTACCGCGGCCCTCACGGACCGCGTCGAAATTCTTTCTAGCTATTCTTAAGCTGCAAGGCAGCGCCATCTCTTCGCATTATAGGTAAACCCACAATGTCAAATGAATACTTTTACAAGTATTAAACATTTGAAAGAAGAAATAGCAATTATAGTTATAATTTTTATTATTTTTAAAGCATGTAACTGCTTGATGTTTAAATCTAAAGAAAATATAACTAGAAAAAATTCCACGCGGACCAGGCAGCAGACGGGACTCGAAAAAAATAAAAATAAAATAATAAAAATAATAAAAATTATAACTATAATTGCTATTTCTTCTTTCAAATGTTTAATACTTGTAAAAGTATTCATTTGACATTGTGGGTTTACCTATAATGCGAAGAGATGGCGCTGCCTTGCAGCTTAAGAATAGCTAGAAAGAATTTCGACGCGGTCCGTGAGGGCCGCGGTAGCATAATTGGTCAGTGCATTCGCCCGGATTGCGAAGGGTGCGGGTTCGAGTCCCGTCTGCTGCCTGGTCCGCGTGGAATTTTTTCTAGTTATATTTTCTTTAGATTTAAACATCAAGCAGTTACATGCTTTAAAAATAATAAAAATTATACTTTGAACTACTTAATGTCATATTTCTACGTTGTAAGAGATATGTTTGCTAATTGTTATTACTTAATGTAAACTATAACTTATGGACGTTTCGCTGTCTGAGAAATTAATTAAAAATACTAAAGTTGATAGCGTCACTTTCTTTTTGAGTACAATGAAACGAGATAATACATGACTGTACTAAGCAGTTAAATGGATGACTCTAAGTACAAGTGTTGATTTATTTATTATGCGATACGAAAGGAACCGAGGTATTACGTAAAAAAATTATTGAAGCTTCTGATACAATCGAGACATTGAAAATTTTCAAGAAAGATACATATCTTTGCAAGAGACACAGCTAGTACAATATACATATATTGTACTAGCTGTGTCTCGTGGTGTTACCCGCGGTTTATTAGGAAAAGTGGCAGCAAAACGTAACCTATGTGTTAATCCAAGCTGTCAGCTAACTCAATAACAAATTTTATTAAAATCGCTCCAGCCGTTTAGACGTGAAGAAGTAACAAATATACACTCACAAATTTTCGCCTTTATAATATTAGTGTGATTAGTATATTACTATTCGGTTTCGCTGAGAATGTAGGAATTTTTGACAGCGCTTGAATTGTGAACTGTGTGAGAGAAGGAATCAGGCCTGTCAATCCAGTTCCTTTGGGAACTCCAGTAGCCCATTAATGATCCAGATCCAGGTTTCTAAAAGTGTCTGTAGACTTACCATGTGTAACTTATCTTTATTTTGCGACTCCTCTGTTCTCTATTAAAGTGGACGGTCGTCGAATATGACCGGCCGGCCTACTCGCTAACTTTTTTGAAATTTACAGGGTGTAACTAAAGAGAAAATTGAATGTCCATCAACGCATTTCAGAACAAGGATCTTAGTAGTGTTAAATATATATAATATAAAGCAGGAGCGGATTATTGCTCGATGATTATCTATCATCTGTCAAACCCAGTTCAGCGAATAGGTCTACAGATATCGCAGCAGCAGCATATTGAGCATCGGCAGCGCAGCGACGAGTGTGCAGTGAGATGTGTTGTCGTCGTCGGGCGCGGCGGCGAGTCGAGTCAGCGAGTCGTGAGAGTGGAGAGTGGAGAGTGGAGAGTGGAGAGTGGAGAGTGCGGTACATACTGCGCCAGGAAGGCGAACAGGTATCGCAGCAGCAGCATGTTGGGCGCGGGCAGCGCGGCGAGGACGGCCCGCAGCCGGCGACGCGTGTTGTCGTCGTCGGGCGCGGCGGCGAGTCGAGTCAGCGAGTCGTGAGAGTGGAGAGTGGAGAGTGGAGAGTGGAGAGTGGAGAGTGCGGTACATACTGCGCCAGGAAGGCGAACAGGTATCGCAGCAGCAGCATGTTGGGCGCGGGCAGCGCGGCGAGGACGGCCCGCAGCCGGCGACGCGTGTTGTCGTCGTCGGGCGCGGCGGCGAGTCGAGTCAGCGAGTCGTGAGAGTGGAGAGTGGAGAGTGGAGAGTGGAGAGTGGAGAGTGCGGTACATACTGCGCCAGGAAGGCGAACAGGTATCGCAGCAGCAGCATGTTGGGCGCGGGCAGCGCGGCGAGGACGGCCCGCAGCCGGCGACGCGTGTTGTCGTCGTCGGGCGCGGCGGCGAGTCGAGTCAGCGAGTCGTGAGAGTGGAGAGTGGAGAGTGGAGAGTGGAGAGTGGAGAGTGCGGTACATACTGCGCCAGGAAGGCGAACAGGTATCGCAGCAGCAGCATGTTGGGCGCGGGCAGCGCGGCGAGGACGGCCCGCAGCCGGCGACGCGTGTTGTCGTCGTCGGGCGCGGCGGCGAGTCGAGTCAGCGAGTCGTGAGAGTGGAGAGTGGAGAGTGGAGAGTGGAGAGTGGAGAGTGGAGAGTGCGGTACATACTGCGCCAGGAAGGCGAACAGGTATCGCAGCAGCAGCATGTTGGGCGCGGGCAGCGCGGCGAGGACGGCCCGCAGCCGGCGACGCGTGTTGTCGTCGTCGGGCGCGGCGGCGAGTCGAGTCAGCGAGTCGTGAGAGTGGAGAGTGGAGAGTGGAGAGTGGAGAGTGGAGAGTGCGGTACATACTGCGCCAGGAAGGCGAACAGGTATCGCAGCAGCAGCATGTTGGGCGCGGGCAGCGCGGCGAGGACGGCCCGCAGCCGGCGACGCGTGTTGTCGTCGTCGGGCGCGGCGGCGAGTCGAGTCAGCGAGTCGTGAGAGTGGAGAGTGGAGAGTGGAGAGTGGAGAGTGGAGAGTGCGGTACATACTGCGCCAGGAAGGCGAACAGGTATCGCAGCAGCAGCATGTTGGGCGCGGGCAGCGCGGCGAGGACGGCCCGCAGCCGGCGACGCGTGTTGTCGTCGTCGGGCGCGGCGGCGAGTCGAGTCAGCGAGTCGTGAGAGTGGAGAGTGGAGAGTGGAGAGTGGAGAGTGGAGAGTGCGGTACATACTGCGCCAGGAAGGCGAACAGGTATCGCAGCAGCAGCATGTTGGGCGCGGGCAGCGCGGCGAGGACGGCCCGCAGCCGGCGACGCGTGTTGTCGTCGTCGGGCGCGGCGGCGAGTCGAGTCAGCGAGTCGTGAGAGTGGAGAGTGGAGAGTGGAGAGTGGAGAGTGGAGAGTGCGGTACATACTGCGCCAGGAAGGCGAACAGGTATCGCAGCAGCAGCATGTTGGGCGCGGGCAGCGCGGCGAGGACGGCCCGCAGCCGGCGACGCGTGTTGTCGTCGTCGGGCGCGGCGGCGAGTCGAGTCAGCGAGTCGTGCAGCCGCGGCGGCAGCGGCGGCGGACGCAGCTCGCGCAGGAACAGCTTCAGCAGACCGCACACGCTGCGATTCGCATTATATATACTCGACAAAAAACTCTAAGCGACATATTGTGAAGGTTTAAACTATTGATTATACGTTTTATTATTATACAGGATGTTTCTTTTAGGGTGTCAAGCCGGTGCGAGCTGATAGCACAGCACCACACCTATCGATTCAACCTCCATGTACGTTCTACGATTTTTCGTAGTTTGCGAGTTACATTTTTTTTGTCATTTTTTACGATTCAACGATGAGACAACTTGGAAAAAGTAGAACTTTATTTGGGTCGATTTTTCTTCGATTTTTTTAACAGAATACCTATTGTTTGTAGATTTATAAGTAAAATAATTTCCTTCCTTACTTTAAGTAAGATACCTAAGATATAAAAATTTTGAACTAAGATAGACACTAAATAAAAATGGATTAAGTAAAACGGAATAGATTTTCAACTAAAATTTTTAAAAAAAATATAGATGTTCCATAACTTCAGACTAATTTTAAAAACTGTCAGACTTCATAAGCTTTCATAAAAATACAAAAAAATATATACTTAATTGGGATTTATTTACTGCAATCTGTCGTTGAAGGTGTTGTATCGAAAATCGTACAAATTTAAAATTTTATAATTTCGTAGTATCTTTGCATATTTTGTCAATCTTAAGTTTTATTATTCTTTTTAGTTTAGAAAATAAAAATAGTCATTTTATGACAACTAATCACTCACAACTCCTGTTATCCTCCTCCGGTCGAGCAACCCCCCCGCAATTCGTTGTAACTTTACTTCTTTAAGAAACGCTCATCAACACTTTTCCGGAATACAAAGTATTTTTTGTCTCATTTCAGGTAATAAACTTTATGTGTGACAATTTCATACAAAAACTTAAAAGTTTTAGCGTGGTTGAGTAATAAATATATTATTATATTAACAGGACTCGAGTGCGCCCGCGATTTCACCCGCGTGAAAAAAATGGTTCCCTCGTGCACGAAGGGTCCGTACGTATGGGACCCCCCCTTAAATATTTAATTAAATATATTTTTAGTTTTTGTTATTATAGCGGCAACAAAATACATAAAAAAATCAACTGTTCGTGAGATACAGTCTAGGCAGACAGATAGGCGGAGTCTCGGTACTAGGGTCCCGTTTTAACCTTTGGGTACGAAACCCTAAAAACAACTTGTAATTATAATAATAATAATAATAATCTTTATTTCTTCTTCCACAATCTACAAATTCCATGACAACTTATTATACTTTAATTCTTATATAAAACAGTAAATAGATTGTGAGAGACTGGTGCCTGAACTAGGCAGAACGCCTGTATCTCAGAGCACCAGGACTCTCCCTCCCCTGGAGAATGTACATTGATCAAATTATAAGGTCATTGATCTTACATATTAAATTGTAGGTATAGGAAGAAAAACATCTTAAATTACAAAAGTTACACGACTACGCTTTAAATAAGAATAAGTACCTACAAGCTTTGATTAATATCAAAGCCTACAAGTAACAACTTGCCTTAATTTTTAACTGTAACAAGTGTGTAAGCATATTTGGTACTTCAAAATTTGAAAGAATGAGAGAGATTTATAAGGTTAGGCTTATTTATCTATGGAAATCCAATAAATTCTCAGTTTCTATGTATGTTTGAGTACGTAAAAATTGAGTAACAAAGACTTTACAATTTCTGTTTGTGTAGTGGACAATGTTTAATTTTGAGTGGAGCAGATTATAGCAGTAAGGGCCCAGAAAATAAAAGAAACGATGTGCAAAAGTAGTTCTGCACCGAGGTGTGACAGCTACAAGATGATTACGCTGAGCAGAGTGCAGGGAGGGATCCACCGCGCTGTGTTGTTTAAGAACAGTATTAAGTATAAACAACTGTCGGACGTTTAAAACTTGGCACATTTGATAAAGTTCTATAGTTGGGAATAAAATAGGTTTCTTAATACATATTTTAAGTACGGCTCTTTGCGCACGTTCGAGCTTTATTAAGATCGATTTAGAGGTACCTCCCCATGAGGTGATGCAGTATGTTACGATGGATTCACAAAGGGATTTATACACCGATAGGACCAGACTCAAATCAGCTACATGACGGAGATTTTTGAAGACGTACATTAGTTTGCGTACTCTACCTGCAATGAGATCCACATGGGCAAGAAACGTTAGCTTGGAATCCACAGCGACACCCAAGTATTTAACAGTCCCACATGCCTCCAATGGAGGACAGGCACATGGATTTATTGAGGGGTTAGGATGGTAATGGGCTATTAACGATAGATCCTTAGTCATTTTAGGTGGATTTTTTTTTTAATTGACATTATCATATATTGAGTTTTCAGGATATTCAAGGTCAGGAGGTTATTTCGGAGCCAGCAGGATACCAGATCGAGACCATACTGTGCGTGACTGAAAGTCTCCTTCCATGAGCCAGATGAAAAAATTAGTACGGTGTCATCAGCATAAGAGATGATCTTGCAGTTGGGAATTTGAAGAGAAGACAGATCATTGATATAAACTAGAAAGAGTGTTGGGCCAAGAATACTTCCCTGCGGTACTCCGTATTCTATGTGACAGTCAGAGCTCCTGATACCATTTACAGTAACACACTGATAACGATCAGTGAGATAGCTACTGAAAAGCGATAACTGTCTGCCTCTAACTCCCAGTCTTTCTAGTTTTTTCAACAGGATGGGAACTGAAACCGTGTCGAATGCTTTAGCAAGGTCTAAGAATACGGAGATAGTTTTTCTGTTCCCATCAAGGTTTCTCGCTATATGATCAGTGAGTTCATGAACGGCATCTGCCGTAGATTTACCCGGAGTAAAGCCGTATTGTCCAGGAGCCAATGCGGATGTGCTCTTAAGGAAGTCCATTAATCGGTTATTGATTAAGCGTTCCAATATTTTGGAGAGTGCTGGTAATATAGAAATGGGACGGTAATTATTCGGGCAGTCCTTTTTCCCTGACTTATAAATCGGATGGACAAGAGCCTTTTTGAAAGCGGAGGGAAAGCAGCCAGTATCAAATGCTAGATTACAAATATAAACAATAAGAGGTATGAGTGTATTTTTATAACGTCTAATGAAGTTAGTGGAAATATCATCCCATCCAACAGCACAGTCGACCCTTAAAGACATAATGGTATTCTCAACCTCGTCCATCGTTGTACTTGATAGCACAAAAGAATTTGAAGGGGACGATGAAAATGTAGGTGATGTCAATGTGAAAATGGGATTCGGAGTAACTACAGGGGGCGTTTGACTATTAATATCTTCAGCAAGTTTTTTGCCGATATTGGCAAAATAGAAGTTTACGTGATCCACCGATTGCTGCTGTGAGTTTTTGCACGTCAGTAATTCACTGGAGAAGTTGTTGGGTTTATTAAGGTGAGCAACATCGCGAATAGCGTTCCACAACTTTTTGCTGTTTGTCCCTGCTCTCCTTAACAGATCTTTTTCGTATGTGTTTTTTACTTTTTTTAATAGTGAATTACAGAAATTTCGATACCTACAAAAAGTTACTCTAAGAGTTTCATTATCTGGATTAGATTTCAGACGTTTATGCATGGAGTCCCTGTTTTTAATTGATCTTAATAACCCAGGGGTGATCCAGGGTTTTAAGATTTTGCGGCGACGTGTGACTATAATCTCATTGGAGTGTGAATTGATGGCTGCCTGAAGTATACTTATAAGATTTTCAGTGGCTGAGTTTACGTCGGATGAGTTTAGAACTGGAGAAAAGTCTGTTTTGCTAAGGCAGACGGCTAGTTCCTGATGATTAATTTTCTTCACAGTATGAGAAACTTTTTGAGTTTTAATTGTGTTAAGAGATAGGAGTACGGCATCATGATCAGTCACCGATGAGTGGATTACAATAGTTTGCGCTGCCATCTTAGATTTTAACATAACATGATCGAGACATGTGTGATTCCGGGTGGGTATGTTATGCGCAGGCAAAAGGCCATGAAATGCTAAGGTGTTTAAGTAATCCTCACAACTAGGGTCTTGCGTTGAAGGGGAGATATTAATATTGATATCACCCATTACTATAACGTTTTTAAAATTGCTTAAGGATGTCAAGAGTGTATTTAAGGAGCGAATAAAGTTATTGGCATTTTGGAAAGCACAGGGACGATAAACAGCTATCAGAGCAGTATCATTACCAATTTTTACCAATAAGCTGCTGCATTCATCAAGTTGTGGTTCAGATATGGAGATACCTCTGAGAGATGAGCTGTAGTAAACCACGATTCCATCGTTTTGATTGGAAGGATTAGAAGATGTATGATAACAGTACTCGGGTAGTGTGGGGATCATCGGATTTTTTTGGAGCCAACATTCTGTAAAAACCATTATGTCCACAACGGTGTTTAATTGATCTAATAGGACACAAAAACTGTCCAAGTTAGCAGATATACTTCTAAGATTCTGAGTTATAATTTTTAACGATTTGTGATTTGATATTTGTCCGTACACTTGATTTGGATCACATACATGAGAAGAACTAACTGAAACATTGTCCAAATTTGTAATTATATCTTTGGTAATACTGAATTTTAAAACTTACAAGTTAAATAAGGAACAAGAGAAACGGACGTACACCTCAATAACAAACAATTTTCATGCAACAAACAGTTTTGTCCAAACATTTTAACAATGCTATTTCGCTTTGACGAGTATGATACTATGAACACAATTTCTTTATTGGTCAATTTATAATAAGCACACAACTGGTAGTAGTGGAAATTAAATTTCATAATCATGTGAACAAGATGGTGCCGCGGCTTGTATTTGTTTGTTTTAAAAAAGTATTTAACATTGTTATTTAATGTACCCGTGCGGTATTTCAGACCTGATTGATGTATCATAATAATAACAATATTCAGTACATTTAAAAGTGTAAAAAGATCAAATATCCTTGTTGCATGAACATTGTACTTATTTATGTACGATTTGTGTACAAAAATATAACCCGCTCCCCCATTTACAGACACATTAGAATTAGCTACCTGCTTTGAAATTGATAGCACTGTGGTTCTATACGAACGTATCCAGCAGCTTAATTTATTCTTCTGATTGTTTTTAGAGTTATGAGCTTTAATACAATAGATATGTTTGATTATTATACAATTCATGCAGAAAGATGACAAATACATTAAAAAACCAATATACTTAAAATTATGCGTATACATAAAAACATAAAAGGACACTAATCTTTGTATAATATACCAGATTATTATATTTTTACCATGGTAAAACAATAAAAAAAATTTCAAAGGAACAGGGTACAATCGGTAGTTTTGAATGTCACAGAAGACAGACTCTAGTTTATTTATTTTACCAACAAAACATCCCAACGCAAAACACGAATAGTATTCTTCTGAAGTATATTGAAAGAACAGGTGTAGTTTATTTGTATCTATGATATAACCATTTATAAAATATATAAAACAAAATGCAGGGTAATCGTGTGCACTAAAGAGGTAGAAATGTGTTTTTATACACATTTTCACTTTTTTAATTATTTTTTTATATATACTATATAACAAAAAAACGTTGAAGTATAACCTTAACACTAACATAGATTTTTGTAATAATGAAAAACAAGATAGGTAGATTAGTTTTTTGCCTGAATATCATTTAACTGAGTCTCTGAGGTAACAACAATAGGCTTCACATTGTCTTCTTTACGGAGAAGAATCCTCCCATTTGCTGTCCAGCAATGCTTGAAATTGTTTGTCTTAGCAAAGTCTCGCGCAAGATGGAACAATCTGCGTGCTCGCATTGTCAGATTTTCTGATATATATATCCATTGTTGTGGTTGGTCTGTTTCCAGTATAGAAGAGTTTAGTCTTATATTTGTTTCTTGGCGGTTGTAATCTCGGAAAGCCTTGATGATTTTATTTTCAGTATTATCGAGTTTAGATTCAAAATAATTGTTTTATTGACGGATTTTGTAGGAATGATACGAACATCATAGATATTCAACATGCTTACATCAATTGACAGCTCCTTAAAGATTTTCATTGAGATGGTGATTAAATGTTCCTGTGTGGGTTTTATTTTAATAGGTAAATTTCGAATTTCGATGGCACTTGATCGGAAATTTCGCTCAAATTCTTCTACACAGCCCTCTAATTTTATCAGCCGTTCGTCGCTTACTTTGGCTTTTTCCTGGAACCCGTTTAGTTGTAGACATAAATCGTCATATTTTAAAGCCAAAAATTCGATAGACTTTTCTATTTCTGAGTTTGATAAAATCAATTCTTTATTTTGTGTCTTGATATCATTCATGGAAGTTTGTAAGCTCGATAACTTATTGTTAGTCTCATCTCTCCAGGACGAGAGTGTTTGTATGAACGCGTCAAGTTTGGATTCCTCGGACGGCCCGCAATCGCACCGACGTCTTTTAACAGAGCGTATTACAATATCTTGTTCATTTGGTGCCTCGGAGACATTGCTAATGTTTAAATTAGGCGCGGATCCATACGTTGCATCTTGTTTTTTAGCCGGCGAGCGCATCATTTTTCTATAATATGACCGCGAGTTTTATAAGTAGGCCTAAATGTCCGTCGGCAAATTACTATCGCGGTAGGTTAAGCCGTTGGTTATGAGTCACGTCACAGTTAAGAAGGGGCATTAAGTATAGTACGAAACAATAAAGGTAGGTATCTGAGTGAAATACCTGTTGACGTCGGAGGCGTCTCGTGCGCCGGCCAGCGGGTCCTCCCCTCGCTCGAACGCGGCGCGTAGCGACTGCATCTCCACCTGCACATAACGCACCACTCGCATTATATCACAACACTCCCCCCCCCCCCCCCCCCCTCATCATATTGGCCATCACCACGCGGGTGCTAACGACTGCAAATGCAGTTGGAACTAATCGCTTAACGTGCCTTCCGATATACGGAGGAGTTTGAAGTAATAGGTTTTTGGTCACGCATCCGGTGACCGATCATTGTGAGAGTTGCTTATGTTCTTCGATCGTAGGCTGAACTCTACTCGTCTTATAATATGTTTGAAAAAAGAGTAATGATGAAATAGAAGACTACAAAATGATCATAATTACAGTCAAATCTGCTAACATATTCTTATTTTATGTTGTATTTTTATTAACTTTTGAAGATATTTTGTGGTTATCACGATATAAACATAAAGTTGTAATATTAAATTGTGTATAAATGTTTCGATATGTATCACAAACAAAAACAGGCGGAGGCTCGTTGTTCACTTCTACTGGATGAAACAAACATAGGAAGAGCAATAATATACAATGATTGACGATTTTTGTGGGCGGGTTTCGAGGCGTCGGATTCGAATGTCAGTGGGGAAAATTTTAGATAGATAGATATTTTTTTTATTGCACACACATTATAGAATACAGAATAAAACAATAATATAATGTGGGAAAATGCGATCTTATCGTTTTAAGCGATTTCTTTCGGACAATCTTTGCAGAAAAGGATAACTAAAGAAAGAGGATCAATACCAGTACTCGGACCTGAGTCATGCATGATTTATATTTATTACATATGTATCGGTGAACGTATTCTATCCGGGACCGTAGGATCGCATAACATAAGCCTTTCAGTGCTCACTTTGAGGCTAGGCCGCTCAATACGAGCGTTGGGAAAAAAAATATTAACGTTGGCTTACCTGGGATCCGGAGACGCGGAATATCCCCTGGTGCTTGAGTCCGTAGGTGGCGATGACGCGCACGCAGGAGGTGAGCACGAGCGGCAGGCGGTCGTCGAGCGGCGCCGCGAACCGGTCGCGCCGCGCACGCGCCGCCGCGCGACGGGGCGGCGACGGGGGCGGGGGAGGGGGGGACGTGTCCGCGCCCGCGCCCGCGCCGTCACCGAGCCGCGCCCGCGCCGCCGCCGCGCGCGCCTCCACGCGGGCCAGCCGACCCGCGCAAGACACGTACGCGCGGAATTTCTATACAAAATACAACCAATTTTAAAACATTACTAGCTGTCCCAGCGAATTTCGTATCGCCATAAAAAATAGGGATCGGTGGTAGAAGAGTAAAAATTTAGGGTTGTATGTGTTTGTGTATGATGTAACATAAAAAAATTAAAAAAAATTATCTAAAATTGAAAAAAAAAAATTTAAAAGTTGACATTTAGGGGGATGAAAAATAGATGTTGTCCTTTTCTCAGACCTACCCCGATATGCACACAAAATTTCATGAGAATCGGGAAAGCCGTTTCGGAGGAGTTTAACCACAAACACCGCGACACGAGAATTTTATATATTAGATAGAATACGAATTGGGCTAAAAAGTGATTTCCCACAAACTATTGACTGGGTGAGCCGATTAAGGAGACGGAGCGAAAAAACCTGCGATAAAAGAACATTATTTATTTATTTATAAAAGGTCTGCCAACATTTTTACTTACATAATCACACTTTTATGTAACAATTTTCAGCATAGTGCAAAACGATTCCTGGCAAACTCGACATGAACAAAAACACGAAAATTATTATACTGACACTATAACTAAAGAATATTTAATAAAATTTTTACATTTATCTATTCGCCTGCAGCAACCGACTCACCACACCGACATCATAAATAACCATTACATATTAAAAAAAACTTGAAACTAAACTAAAAAAAAATGGTTGCCTGTAAAGTCGGTTTTACGGGCGAAGATTTTACGTGACAACGTCTTTTTCTCGGTAGAATATTTATTGATATGAATATAATTAAATTGCACGATAGGAACAAGGAATTGAATGAAAATAAGAATTGCACAAATTTTAACTATAGAAATATATTTTGTTTACTAAAACATTGTACATGTAAACTTAAACTCATCGTAACGTTACCGAGCGTTACACTTTTTCATAAGTGACTCCCAGCCGCAACCTAATTTAAGACGTTGTCACGTCAAAAAATGCATTAAAACATTAGGTTAAATGGATTATCTTGCCCGATGAATGAACAGCCGATTCGTTTCCAGATATTTGATTTGTCAAAGTATTTGTTTTGCCTGTTCACGTGGCACGTTAGTATTGGAGTTTAGTTGTATGAGTTTGGAACGCTTCTCGACAGCCTATATATTAGAGAGTAACGCTTCCGTATAATTTCTCATTTGTGAACAAGGATAATGTGTCATGTGCCCCGCATACCGCCAGATAGTAGTCCTCCTGGTCCCGGCGCGGCTCGGGGTCGTCCGCGGCGGCGGCGAGGGCCCCGACGTTCCGAGCCGCGTTCTCGCCGAACAGACCGCTCACGTCCCATTGCTCGTCGCTGCCTTCAATCTGATAGACAAATATTGCTCTTCCATTAATTCAATACTAATATGTCATAAATTTTTACTCCACTTGCTAAAAAGAGTTAGAAGAACAGGAAATAAAGAATTAAAATAAAGCTTTATTAAATAAACAAAGACAAAATATTATGTTATGCTCCGTTTATGAATTAAAAGGACACTGCAAAAAAAAAAGGCGAGCCCGACAGAATAGAAATGTGTACCTGATTTTTAATATTATAAAATGAAAAAGATATTGTATTGGTAGCATATTCGAATTATTTTTTGTAATATTATAAAGAGGAAGTTTTCATTTGTGTACGGGCAAACCCGTACAATAGGCTAGTTGCCTATATTTTAAATAGTGGTTAATAATATACCTTGATGTTTATTTAACCCCAAAAAATATTATTTTAAATAAAAAAGTACATTAGCAATATGTATTTTGTATTTTAAAAAACTTATTCAAATTTCCCTCGAAAACGCTCTAGACTGTCATGGCGTCTAGAATGACGTCACGCCGTGGAAAGCAAACAATACGCTGTACGCCGACTATTAAAATTATTTAGTTAAAAATGAATCCATCGTATTACAAGTACTGCATAGTGTCCTAGTATAAAAGGAGAAGCATAAAACGCCAGACAAATTATTTATATGCCACAAATGCGGAATAAATGGTTAGAACTTACAAGGAGGGATGGTAACTATTCATTGTTTATCAACAAATACAAGAATAATTTTGTGATGAAAATTTTGATGTAAGTATTTTGCATAACATAATCAATGAAATCAAAATGTTATACAAGCCGGATAAATTATATTGCATTATATTGATAAAACAATGACAATAGGTTGAGGTTAGGTAAGTTGATTTAATTTTATGGTATGATTTAGAGTCTATTTGCGAGTTCACTATATTTATTCATAATAATAAACACTTCTTATTCTTGTTCTAGTTGCCAAATGATATGCTTAATTATGTCGAGTAGTTATGCGATAAATTTTTTATTTTGGTTAAAATATTATTATTTTCTTCGGTAAATCCCAATTCCATGGATATATTAGCCTTCCTTTCAATAATTATCTGAAAACAAACTGATAAATTGTATCAAAGTAACAATAACATGAATGAGAAATCAATGAAATGTATGGAAACGGCAACCACAAGTAATGTTTTGCACGTGGTGACGTCAGTCTTTCTGATTGGTGTTTGTCGTCACGTGATCTAATGCCTATTTTATTCGAATTTATTTTCTAAAAACAATAATAATCTTTAATTATTATGATAAATAGCTTTATTTTTTGTTATCTGTATATCATAATTCATATTTAGAAACTGTAACCCATTCGATTTATTGTTAGTTGACACAAGCCTATTCTATATGTTTAAGTATTATGCTAACGTCGGCGCTGCGCGCGACTCGTTACGCCTTTTATTAAGTGAATTGAACAGTAGCAATAAATTACTCATACAAACAACATCGTTTATCATTTAACATAACAACATTTTCGTGACAGTGTTTCGGAACCTATCATAACCTTATCAAACAACTAAAGGTGCCCCAGACATCTTTATGGTCCTTCGAACCTTCGGAAAGGTGGGATCAGGTGCGCGAGGACTGTGAACAGTGTTCGTGTAAGTGATTCCAACACAGCGGACTTTGGAGTCAGTGTATATCAAAAGGATCACAACAGAAGCATAAGCATCAGCAGAGGCAGCTGGGAGACACAACCTCCACGAAATATAGCAGAGTAAGATCTTTCCATATTATCGCTTACGTAACAATCGTGCAGTAAAAATGGAAGACTTATTGGCAACACAGAGCCAGATTTTCGGAGCGATGGAATCGCTTCTCAGCAATTTTAAAAAGGATGGTTCACATCGCAAGACGACTGAATATATCAATAAAAAAGTTAATTTGTTAGATGAATATTGGAAAGAATAGGGAAGATGCAATATTTTTATTTCTGTTTTCATTTTAAAGAATTCTTATATTAGTACAAAAAAAACACCTTATATTAGTACAAAAAAAACTACTACAAAATGATTAAGCCATTTGAACATTATGTTCTAAAATCAAATCCAATAGCGGGCGCTTCCGCAACTTCTTATTACACACTTCCGTCTCATTTCACGAAATCACTCTCACAAATTGCAGGAAAGCGAGAGGAAAGATGTTACACATCAAAAATAACAACGTGGCAGAATTGACTTATGAAACGCGACGCCACGCACGCACGCCCCGCGTGTTGAGTCAAATCAAAATGTACTAATTCTATTGATCAGAATCACGTTAGAAACATCCCTCGCGATGATTAGTGCAATAATTACGTGTTATAAAAGTGATAGGTGTGCACAAACCACTACGTTACTTTAATAATAAGGGCATGGACTAATGATAAGAAGGACACACTTTTTTTAACAGCAGAGCAAGGGTGCATTTTATACAATGAGGGGGCTAAACTACGCAACAAAATTTTCACAATCTTCACGCAAAGTTTATACATATAATTATATGAAGAAAGTCGTAGTGTATAATACAAGGCTGAGAAGAAAAACTTTAGTCTACACTATAGCTCTACACTGAAGCGGAGCGAGGACGGTTCACTAGCTATCAATATTTTAGTAAAAATAAATAAAAATCTACCATAAAAGATTCACTAATTTAGCCATCGATTTCGATGATGCCACCTATACCATATTTTTTCTTATTTAATATAATTCAATACTAAAATTCTAAAACATGTTTCGTTTCCGTCGGGCTCGGGTTATTTCTTCGTCACAATCTCACCTGTCGCAACAGCTCGGCCTCGGCGGCGTCGAGCGTCTTGGCCGCCTCGCTGCACTCGGCATGCAGCAGTCGCGCAGCAGCCTGCAGCTGCAGCAGCCGCGCCGCCAGCTCGGAGCGCGCAGCACAATCTCACCTGTCGCAACAGCTCGGCCTCGGCGGCGTCGAGCGTCTTGGCCGCCTCGCTGCACTCGGCATGCAGCAGTCGCGCAGCAGCCTGCAGCTGCAGCAGCCGCGCCGCCAGCTCGGAGCGCGCAGCACAATCTCACCTGTCGCAACAGCTCGGCCTCGGCGGCGTCGAGCGTCTTGGCCGCCTCGCTGCACTCGGCATGCAGCAGTCGCGCAGCAGCCTGCAGCTGCAGCAGCCGCGCCGCCAGCTCGGAGCGCGCAGCACAATCTCACCTGTCGCAACAGCTCGGCCTCGGCGGCGTCGAGCGTCTTGGCCGCCTCGCTGCACTCGGCATGCAGCAGTCGCGCAGCAGCCTGCAGCTGCAGCAGCCGCGCCGCCAGCTCGGAGCGCGCAGCACAATCTCACCTGTCGCAACAGCTCGGCCTCGGCGGCGTCGAGCGTCTTGGCCGCCTCGCTGCACTCGGCATGCAGCAGTCGCGCAGCAGCCTGCAGCTGCAGCAGCCGCGCCGCCAGCTCGGAGCGCGCAGCACAATCTCACCTGTCGCAACAGCTCGGCCTCGGCGGCGTCGAGCGTCTTGGCCGCCTCGCTGCACTCGGCATGCAGCAGTCGCGCAGCAGCCTGCAGCTGCAGCAGCCGCGCCGCCAGCTCGGAGCGCGCAGCACAATCTCACCTGTCGCAACAGCTCGGCCTCGGCGGCGTCGAGCGTCTTGGCCGCCTCGCTGCACTCGGCATGCAGCAGTCGCGCAGCAGCCTGCAGCTGCAGCAGCCGCGCCGCCAGCTCGGAGCGCGCAGCACAATCTCACCTGTCGCAACAGCTCGGCCTCGGCGGCGTCGAGCGTCTTGGCCGCCTCGCTGCACTCGGCATGCAGCAGTCGCGCAGCAGCCTGCAGCTGCAGCAGCCGCGCCGCCAGCTCGGAGCGCGCAGCACAATCTCACCTGTCGCAACAGCTCGGCCTCGGCGGCGTCGAGCGTCTTGGCCGCCTCGCTGCACTCGGCATGCAGCAGTCGCGCAGCAGCCTGCAGCTGCAGCAGCCGCGCCGCCAGCTCGGAGCGCGCAGCACAATCTCACCTGTCGCAACAGCTCGGCCTCGGCGGCGTCGAGCGTCTTGGCCGCCTCGCTGCACTCGGCATGCAGCAGTCGCGCAGCAGCCTGCAGCTGCAGCAGCCGCGCCGCCAGCTCGGAGCGCGCAGCACAATCTCACCTGTCGCAACAGCTCGGCCTCGGCGGCGTCGAGCGTCTTGGCCGCCTCGCTGCACTCGGCATGCAGCAGTCGCGCAGCAGCCTGCAGCTGCAGCAGCCGCGCCGCCAGCTCGGAGCGCGCAGCACAATCTCACCTGTCGCAACAGCTCGGCCTCGGCGGCGTCGAGCGTCTTGGCCGCCTCGCTGCACTCGGCATGCAGCAGTCGCGCAGCAGCCTGCAGCTGCAGCAGCCGCGCCGCCAGCTCGGAGCGCGCAGCACAATCTCACCTGTCGCAACAGCTCGGCCTCGGCGGCGTCGAGCGTCTTGGCCGCCTCGCTGCACTCGGCATGCAGCAGTCGCGCAGCAGCCTGCAGCTGCAGCAGCCGCGCCGCCAGCTCGGAGCGCGCCGCCCCCGCCTCCGCCTCCGCCGCCGCCTGCTCTACGGCACCTTCCACTAATGTTTGCATCTCCGCATCCTGAGGGCACAATCATTCATTATTATAGTATACGCTGGTATGTCCTTATCGACAAATTTTATATGAAAGGATCTACTTTGGTCGTACGTCCGGTGGGGGCGCCGCTAGGTTTTCATGACGATATGCGATACGATTACCGAGCTGTTAATTGATCTCGATTAAACTCTAGATGAGTATTCGAAACGGATAAGGACTCTTCTATCTTCAGTAGGTAGGTAGACTAGGGATATCGATATAATGAACACCAGAAACAAAATTGATCCCAAGATCGAACCCTGCGGGACGCCCGAAAAGACGGACGAAGGTTCCGATTTGTAACCATTTACAACTATCCTTAACAGTTAATACTCCTCGACCTCTTACAACCTGGGATCCTTTAAAAGAGGCGAGAAGAAGCAACATGCAGGCCGGCAGGGTGAGGATGGATGGTGTGGCAGGTAGAACTGCTGTATCAGCTATCTTCGCGTCTGGACTTCACCTTCACTTAACATCAGGTGGGGTGGAGTCATTTGTCGGAACTATCTATAAAAAAAAAAAAACTAAGAAAAACTGGAGTTCATCAGTATCGAAAACAGAATGTTGAGGTCAACCTAGTCAGAAGTACTACTAAAATCTGTATTCGATTTGGTTAGTCTATTGATATACGAAACTTTCAATTTCAATTAGTCACTTTCAATAACTTCCTATTGAAGAATGAGAATGGTATAAATAATGTATTTAATAGGTCTGTCTCACTCCCAGAAAGTCCGCTGATACCGAGAATAGAAAGCACGTAAAATTATAAGGGGAACTTCGCCCTGGAGCTACGCAGCGAGGTGTGGGTCCTTCATGATATGGTGACGGGAGACGGCAGGAATCTGCCCCTGCGGAGCCCCGCGGCCCGCAGCGCAGCCCCCGCGGTGAGGGCGGCCCGCCCCCGCCCCCGCCCCCGCCCCAGTACCTGTCTAGACGCGGGCGCGCCCTGGTAGGGCAGCGGCGCGGGCAGCTGGAAGGCGGGCGCGTGGTGGTCCATAGTCCTGGTGCGGTCCGCGTGCGCGTCCAGCGCGAGCCCCGCGGCCCGCAGCGCAGCCCCCGCGGTGAGGGCGGCCCGCCCCCGCCCCCGCCCCCGCCCCCGCCCCAGTACCTGTCTAGACGCGGGCGCGCCCTGGTAGGGCAGCGGCGCGGGCAGCTGGAAGGCGGGCGCGTGGTGGTCCATAGTCCTGGTGCGGTCCGCGTGCGCGTCCAGCGCGAGCCCCGCGGCCCGCAGCGCAGCCCCCGCGGTGAGGGCGGCCCGCCCCCGCCCCCGCCCCCGCCCCCGCCCCAGTACCTGTCTAGACGCGGGCGCGCCCTGGTAGGGCAGCGGCGCGGGCAGCTGGAAGGCGGGCGCGTGGTGGTCCATAGTCCTGGTGCGGTCCGCGTGCGCGTCCAGCGCGAGCCCCGCGGCCCGCAGCGCAGCCCCCGCGGTGAGGGCGGCCCGCCCCCGCGCCGCCTCGGCCGCGCCGGCGCACACCGCCGCGCGGGACACCACCGCGCCGAAACCCACCTCCGCACACTACACGCACAAGGGGATACATCAACAATTTATTAATAGGAAACAAAGTATACAATACGATCTAACAAATTTAAGATTGAGAAGCTTCGATAGCGCCAATCATAGGGACGAAAACTGTCAATTAATCACACTCTCACCAGAGCCGTAATAATGTCAAATGGAAACAGCCGTCCAAGTCACGAAGGAAACCAACAAATTCTGATAATCTCGAGCTGTGTTCCATATCCTGGTGCAACAAAGGGTAAATGTGTCATATATTTTATGTCAAAATTAGCGTAATCGACGCGCGCCTCGCTGTGCCGCGTGTACAAATACAATCTCACCAGCATGATGTCTGCGATATCGTCGAGGTAGTATCGCTGCAGCGTGGCGTTGGCGGCCTCGAGGCTGAGCGCGTAGTCGGCTCGCGCCCGCAGCGCCCGCACCCGCGCCTCGCTGTGCCTCGCGCGACGCTGCAATATTAAAGCGGAACGTCTTATTATCGCTGTCTAACTATAATAGAACCCCTCTCAGAATCACTTAAGAAAATTTAGTATGGGCGAATCATTTTCGTCGTTTTAATCGTTTTCTAACTTGTTTCAACTCGGGTATAGTAGCTTCATACTTTTACAAACTACCGGTCGCAGGATCGCTTCGTCCCTATTACTCGTTTCTACTGATATTTTACTTTACCATAGAAATAGCTCAGTGTTTTCCTTAAATGTCTCGAGTTAGTATAACGCGAGCTATGGTTAGTGCTTACATATTTTTCTAGCTGTGCCCCGCGGTGTAACCCGCGGTTTATTTGTGATTTTCCCGCAGTAAAACGGAGCCTATGTTAATCTAGGGTGTCAACCAACTCCATACTAAAATTTATTAAAATCGCTCCAACCCTTTACACGTGAAGAAGTAATAAAAATACACATTCACAAACTTTCGCCTTTATAATATTAGTGTGATTTTTATTTGACACACCAATAACGATATCACCATTACAGCAAAATAAGAAAAACAAATATGTATAACCGCGTGCTCCCTCCGGCCCGCGTGAGGGCATCATACCTTGTCGAGCTCCTTGTCGAGCGCCTTGATCTTCTTGTGCCGGGGCGGGTCCAGCGCCAGGAGCCGCAGTCGCTGGTCGTGCGCGCGCCGCAGCTTGAGTGCGGCGGCCCGCCACTCGGCCGCAGCGGCCGCGTGCGCTTTGCCCGCCGCGCCCGCCTCCGCTAGCGCCTGCCCCACCTCCTCGTGACGCTCCGCCACTGGACAACTCGTTAGATCAAACCCATCCACCAGCACTGATGCCAACGCCTGTTCCTTTTAACCATACCGACTTATCCATTCAAACATGGAAAAGTAAAAAAAAAACTTTTTTCTATACCATACCAGGGACAACTTGGTATGGATAAATGGAACGAGTGATTGTCGAGATGATGTTTTTCTATAAGTTATCTAAAACTAAAAGAACCAACACACGTAAATTACTATTGTCAACTTGATTGTTTCAATGTAACTATTAACGGAATTGTTACCGTGTACGTTGTTTTTTATGAGTTTCCGAAATTTCGGCACTGTTGCAAGCGCCATGATCACGGAGTAACTGAAATAATTGCACGTAGTTGTTAGTGGCAGACATATCGGTGTACCCTCTGACATCTTATTTTACTGCGTTCGATACCTCTACCACTGGTCACATTCTCACTATTCACTCGCACCTGTACACACAATACTCACAGTATCAAATACTCACAGTATCAGATAGCGGAAAGACACTTATTTATATGTTTGCGGTTTTTGCACATACTTCTTTTGGCCAATATACGAACTACCATAGCTACAGTTGATCTAATATACACGAGGTTTCTCCAAGGGGAAGTTGTCTTTGGGAGATCGTAGTACCTCGTAGATGGGTTTAAATTATCAAGTGTCTGGAATCCAGTGGTTCGTATGTGTAAAACCGCAAAAATCTAAAAAGTCTCGTTCCGCGATCTGATACTGTGAGTATTGTGTGTCGGGAACAGGTGCGAGCGAATAGTGAGAATGTAACCAGTGGTATGGATATCGAATGCAGTAAAAGACGACATCAGAGGGTAGACCGATATATCTGCCAATAACTTCAGTTACTCCGTGCTCATGGCGCTTGCAACAGTGCCGAAATATCGGACTCGGAAAAAAACAAGGTACATGGTAACAATTCCGTTAATAGCTATAATGTTAGTGACCATGAAAGTTTAAAACAATATATCGTTAACCGAAAAGGGCCGGATACAGCAAAGTTAATAAAAGACCTAGAACGCGCGCGGAAAAAGTGTGTGTGTTATTCAGACATTATCCCCACATGTGTTAAGATAAAATCACAACCAGAAATTCATGGTTCCGCGAGTGTTCTGCGAAATGCGAGTATAAAACTGTTGCGCAAATCGATACTTATGTAATTGTAGGTACCGACTGGACGAAGATCAGTGTGAACTATACCAAATACCTACATCTCTAAGTGCTGTGAAATACTTTCAAAAAGTGATTTTAATATTTGCGATCGTGTTAACTACTTACAAGCCCAACGTTCCAGTGAACTTAGTGCTATGAAACAAGATCGTAAGTTCGAGTTATTATTAAAAAGACAGAAGTCTCATGTCCCCTACTACGAGAACTCACTACGAACTCGAACGGTAATCAATTTGTCGAGCATTGAGTTAACAAACGCTGCATAGTCAGTTCTTGAAAAAGGGATGAATTTCGCTATTACACCTAGACGCATTCCCTATGAGGAGGTCATTGGGTCAGTTGAAGAAGGTGTCATGCGTAACAAGATTATCAATTATCTTAAAATTAAAGAAACAATGCAATTAAATACGAACTTGGTCTTTCAAGCTTGGAAATGTTGTGTTCAGGATCGATTCAGGTGCAAGTTTATGAATTTATATATGTATATTTTTTTAACTAATTAAAAATATTGCATATATATCTTTATAGAACAGTGTGACCTGAACCCGCACTTTACGCACGCTTTTCCGTGACCTAAGTTGCCTATTTCTGCACGGTGTGTAAATGAATTGACCAACTTCACTCATGTAGAATTAGTACATTACGATACGCGTAACTTAACTTTACTATGCCAATCAAGGAATAAACGTTCATGGATACATTGAAATTCTATTTTGTTGTAATGATATTTGATTTTTTCCTTTTGAAATATACTTTCAAAATGGTAATCTGAACCAGAATTCTTTCTTTTCAGAGTTTGACTTGCAGTCTGTATTGCTATTCTTTGTGATTGCAATACATGAATTTTACTTTCAAAACACTAATCGCATCCCTCGCATGTCACACTTGCTATAAAATAGTATACGATACTTGTGGCCTAAGTTGTCTATTACTGCACGGCTACTACTATCGTAATGTACTATTTCGGATAGACCGTATGCTCTAATACCAAAAAAATACGGAACTCGAGGAGCTAGAAGGCAAGTGGTCATGCTGGATCTGCAGTCGTGGAAGCAGATCATCGAATGGGCCAAAAATGTACTACCTCCTTGCTTCGGCAGACAAGTTTAGTCGTTAGCACTCACCACTCCGTACTGGGCCTGCATGATGGGTCATGGCTCTTTATTAATAGGCTGATGATGATGACGATGATAAAGTACGGGAGGTGACTCACCTATATCCTTACACTTGCGATGCAGCCGCAGCGCGTCGTCGGCGGCGCGCTGCAGCCGGGCCGCGAGCGGGCCGCCATACAGCTCCCCCAGCGACGCGTGGTCGCGCGACAACGCGCGCGTGCTCTCCAGCGCCGCCTGCCAGCAAGCGAACGCGCCCGTCAGCGGCCACTGCTCGCGTCTGTACACACATTACAAATAATACCATCATTTATCGGTAACGAATCATTTTATCATATTAGGTGTTCAATGACGTCCGGGGACCCCAAGGTACAATATTTTAACCTTTTTCATTCCTAGTATTTATAAACGACATAACCAGATGCTGAGGCATTCTAAATTATAAATAATCTTATTTACCGACGACATGAACATTTTCAAAACGAGAAATGAAGCAGATTGTCTGTTACTGCACATGCTGCTGCAGATATTAAAGATCTCGGTGTAATTAAGGGTAGCATCGAAAGCATTCGTGTTCAGACATTCAGACATTTGAGGTCGTACTTGTGTTTCTGGTCCTTGTGCCGCTGGTGGGCGGCGCGCGCGAGTTTGTCCAGCGCCCGCGAGTACTCGTGCTCGAGGTCGGCGCGCCGGCGACAGTAGTCGTGCAGCTCGCCCGCCACGCCCGCCGTCGCCTCCGCGCGCGCCTCCAGCACGCGCGTCTGCTCCGACAGCTGGATGCGGATATCTGCACATACCAAACGTAACACTGCTCAAGGTTTAAACAAGATGACAAATCTACGGTCACTACAGATCCGTATTACAGAACCTCCGCCAACTATCCGCCCGACGGTCTGTCGGCATTTTGGGACTTGATAAAGTCAACTAATTTAAAATGTAGCGTTGTCGTTGTATGAAAAGAATGGATATGAAATTGTATTTCTATCTGTCTTTCAGATGGCACATTTACACGAGTGCCAATTTTGCCGTACGGCCTAAATATACAATGTAAATGGCGGGTCTTCCATGTAATGCAGAACATTAAATGTATAATATAATTATACATATCAACAAATGGCATAAACTTCATTTCGCAGAAAATCTTTTGGAATTTTCTTCATTTAGCAGACATTTAAAAAGCACAATTTTGTGAGCCAGAATCATTTTTTAGAAGTATGCTATTGTCAATTCGGACGTTTACAGAAGATAATGCCAAACGTGCATTGCCAAATGAATTTCGGGGTAGGGTAGTCGACTAGATTACAGAAAAGCTCAGTTTCAATAAATAACCTCCAGTAAATGTAAGTACGTGGGACACTCGGAAAGTTTTGAGAAACTAAAAAACTAACTTCTTTGAAAAAATATTTTTATCAAATCTTTTCAAAGAACTCTCCACCAGCCTCTACACAAAGTTTCATGCGTCTGAACCAAATTTCAAAACCAGTCCTCCGCAGACACCTCTTCCACGACCTTCTCAAACGCTGCTAGCCCTTCTTCCGGCGATGAAAACTGTATCTCTTTGAGCCGATTTTTTATTTTAAGAAATAAAAAGTCTTTCGAAGGTAGCTCGACAAATTAAATAAAAGTTTTATTCTGACGACGAAGCCTGTAAAGGCTACGAAACGTCAATAAATAAATAAAGTTTCGTGCATTAACCCGTAAAAACTAGTTTTATTTAAATAAAAAGAAATCACACGGAGCCATATCAAGACTGTACGGAGGGTGTCAAGACTCTCGACTGGTGTGGAGTCCAGGAAATCGTTCGTTTTGATCGCAGAAGCAGGCCCGTGTGGCCTGCTTCTGAGCTTTGGTGAGGTTGTGCGGCACCCAGCGAGTAACTATCCTCCTGACTCAAAGGTGCTCGTGCAAAATCTTGTGAACACTTCCTGAACCAATCTGCACAGTATGCTGAATCTCTTCGTACGTAACTCGTCTTTTTTCTTGAATTAATTTTTTTTACTGCCAGCACACTTTCTTCGGTCACAGCCGTCGTAGGACGACCACTCCTTTGTTCATCCCCCAAAGTAAGACGACCGTGTTATAACTCGCTACACCAGCGGTAGATTGTTGCTTTTGAAAGTCCTTCATCTATAAAAGCAGTTCGAAATCGATCAAAAGGTTTTAAGCCACATTTATAATCGTAAAAAATCATAGCACGAAAATTTTCTCGATGCAGATCCATTTTTTAATGAGACAAGAAAAATTTATTTGGCTGTCGACAAAATCCAGAGGGAAATTTGAAAATCGAATAGCAGTATTTTTACTTTTAAATAATCGCAGTTTTCAAAATAATTACAAGTGGCCGGTGTCTTATACATAAAAACTTTTTTTCGCCATACTTTCAAAATGGCCTGGTATAATCTTGTTCCGTTTTTATCAACAATTGTTATTAATCTTAATAACAAACATGTCTGGGCAGTAAAGTTTCTCACAGGCAAATCCTTTTCCTTATTGGTCGCTCGTCTTTGACCACTCGCTTACATTGTAAGCAAATACAACTAGCCGTCGTCACCCCGGCCGCGGCCGCAGACTGCGTCTATCTGTGACACACTTAAAGCTCTAAAAGGCGCTTACTCGAGTTTGATTATTAAAATGGTCGTAAACAAAAAGGTGAATTAGTATGCGGCTATTTGTCGTATATATATTATTCTAACCCATGTGTAGTTTATTTACTAGTTAGTTTTTACTTTACGTAAATTATCTTTTTAAGATAATATAGTTAATCGGCTGATCCCAAAACAACTAAGTAATGAATAATACAATTTAATCCTACATTACTTCGCGCATACTGTATATAATAAGAATGCAATGTAAATGATACATATTATGTTAACCGGTTGGTGGAGCGCGTCTTTGCTTTTAATCCAGATAGAGAATTGAATAACAATTGTTCATATAATGTATACGTAAGCAGTGGTATATAATACGAAGCTTTTACATTACAAACTGTGCTTAAATTGTGCTAACTGTGTTAAGGATATTTTTCTTGTCTTAAAGACACCCCAGTTATAACGAACAGGGAGTAACTGCATAGAGGTCGTTCTACATTTTATATTAAACAATATTAATTCATATCGACCAGTGTTTATTATGCTAAGTTGTTCAGTTGTTTCGTTGAAACAGAGCACTGATTATTTTGCCCTCGATTTGACCGTTGACAAAATCTCGAGAGAAATATAGTAATTGCATATTATCGAGGAAGTTGTCGATCATATGCTTAAGCTCAGCCTGACCGCCTTCCGGTACATCGCTCCACATGCGAGGATCCGCAACACGCCAATACGCCAGTACGCCACTGTGCAGTAGTGTGCAGAAACCAGTATCAAACTGGTACCCAGTGTAGTGACGATAATAATAATTCACGTTGTTGTTGCTCAACACAACATTATAAGGCAAGGCAATATTATAAATAAGGTGATCAATTTTAACAAATTCATCAACCGTCACTAATAAAATATACAACTGTGCAAAAATTTCTTTTCTCTTTCCCATAAAATCTCCCACCCACCTTTTCATCCCCTTAAAGGATGACAAAGAAATTTGGTGACTCATTTCTTTGTCGTACTATGTATTTGCAAGTGGATTTTTTGTTCACACACGTGTTCCCTCCTTCCTACAATCTGGGGTCCTTTAAGAAAGAAGAGTAAATTTTTCTCCAGGCTGGCAGGTGAGGACTGTTGGTGGTGGCATTTTATAACTGTTGCACCAGCTATTTTCGCGTCTGCACTTCACCACCATATGCATGAGATGGGGTACAGTAATTGGCCTACCTAGCTATAAAACAAAACTGCAATTTTATAAATACATAATTGTTTCTTATCCACCTCAGATCAAATAAAAAGGAAGCCACATGGTAAATAGTTATATTGATTAGGCTATTTTACCGTGATAAACATCTCAAGCGATGAATAGTATTACTTAGGTACATGAATAGTCGGTGATTTCAGATTACAGTCTATTTTATATATTTTATGCTTTCATGGTACTTATGTACATCGAACGAGTTATCGTCACATATCGTACACAAAGGAAACGCGAGCTGCATGATGAAAGTGTGAGAAAATAAACATTTATTTAGTGCTCCCGCGGCGCGGGCGACTTGTGGCCGAACCGACATTCTAAATACCTACATCATTGGTTCATAGTTTTTATGTATCATGTTTAAACGCTTATCAGGATTCAGGATTATTTTTAAAAATGAAAGCTTTTATCTGTAACCGTAACCTCACCCTTCAAACGGCAGGACGGAGTTGATAATCGACGGTTAACCTTTAGCAGCTCCTTGATATGAGTGTAACTAGATATTTCCTGATGTTGGTAGAGGTATTGAAAGTTATAAGCCCAGCCTTATACGTAATAATTATTTGTATAATTATAACGTTTCAGCGCTATATTGATCTGGAGATTTCGACTTGCAATACAAATCGACCTATCCATAGAATAAAGCTACTTCTGCATAATCACAACTTTACAGTAGAGCGATTTTAAGTTTGTAAAATGTAAAATATGCTGTAACTTGTATTGGTATTTTTCTATAATTTGATTTTTTTAACTAATCATATAAAGCATTAAGAAGCAACTACATTTACGGCTTATATTTCGTTATTTAAGAGTTTCTTATGTGATTATGTGACAATTTACTACGGACTTCTTTATGTTACATATGCATATCAGACCTTATGCTTGGGAAACGTGTCAAATTATGTGTAGATATAACTTTGTTTTACGTAATTTATATTTTCTGTCGCGTCACATTATGATAATATGGCAAAGATTGGGCAATATCGATCAAACAGGAAAAATAGAATCAAAAATTTAGTAAAAAATCTCAGTTTATATCAAAATTGAAACCGTGCAGGCTGCGTTCTTGCCTATCCAAAAGGTTCTTGTACTCTTGGCTCTATATTCTTCGGAAACAAAAATCACATGTACCTTTATTCAATTGCTATCTTCAAAGTTATATAAGTTTTAGAATAAATGTTTTCACCAGTAAAACATATGCGTCCGTTTCGCCTAAAAGTACAATAAAAGCAATTTGGTATAAAATTTTCATATGTAACTTTATTCTATGCATAGGTCGAAATGTTCAAAACGCATTTCGAGGGACCCAAATCATAGCACTAGACTGAAAATGAACCAAACAATTTTTTGACTTTTTCGTTTATTTTATATTTGACGTATTTATCTTCATTCGGTTCCAGGTGGCAGGAGCTGCTATTTATGCCGTTTGTTTTCCTGATCGATGTACCTAACAGTTACACAGGACTTTGTATAGGACAAATAAGGAAAATTTCCTACGAGTGATAAAACAGAAATATGAGTTTGTGGTCGCGCTCAGAAATTAATAAAATACCTAACTTATTTTACACATCATGACGTGTCGAACTACGATGAAGACTATAAGGGATTTACTGATAGCTGATTTTATCTTAAATGGAGTACCCGTTTAATGAATTAACATTCACCCTACCAAAGTCCTTAGTCTAAAATAACATTTCTTTCCGGTAATGTTGTGTTTCTGCCGATCAGTAAAGTTCTATGGCTCCGCGGGAAAGAGAATAAGACTCAATGCAAGTTAGGATGGCTAGAGTTAGATATTTTTCGCGACTGGCTGGACTCTCCACTTGTTGCGCTTTATATATAAAAAAACAACAGATGGATTTACTAGAGCAGTCAGCAGAAGTATAATGCCAAAATAATCATCTTATTTTGCATAAAGCATTGCCAACTGCTACAATAAACCTTTTG